GATGTGGGGACGTGGCACTTGAAAATTGCATCGCCTCCTCCAACAAAAAACTTTTGATGGCAAGTTCTTCTCGTCCATGGGCCGAGCCATTGCCAACGTCTGCAGGCGAGGAGAGAAGGGCGGTGTCGTGTAGGTGAAGGCAACTTTTAGGGTTTTCTTTTTCACCTTGAGTCCAACAAAGAGCTACAGTCCTGCATCACATGCAGGTCTCCTCCTGTCCTCCGCCCTTCATCATAGAGGGACAGAGACCAGTGGAGCAGGAGGTTACAGATGTGGAGCAGGACTCGAGCTCTCAGAGCCACCTCAGTGGTCCACACACAGCTAGAAGGCGAGGGTTCGATTCCACGGACCTGAGCCTCTCTCACTTTGTGTGTCGACTACTGTGGTGGCAGGATCGGGTTTTCTCCGGGTGCACGGTTCCCCCAGTTGAACTTCTAAAAAATAATTCAATAACATCAACAAAAACAAAAAGATTTAATTGAATGTGCTCATCTCACTTATCGGTTTTCTTTAAGAGCTGAAATTATTATAAGTTCTGATGATTCATTTGTATAAAGTGCAATAAAAAGTACCAAACAAGTTCAAAGAAATCACTGTTGTTGTTTTTATATTCAAACCACTTTCATCAGCAATAAATATAAAGTCATGACCCAAAATGTATTTCTACAAGATAACCACAAAAAATATTCTAGAAAAACAATCAAATTAAATCAAAAATTCATGATCAATATCAGAGTTTCATGAACCGGCTTCAACACATAAAACCTACATTCACAGATTTATATGATCTCTGTACCATTGCACATATTCTCCATCATGTGAACTTCAGCACATCCCTGATCAATTGTTTTGCAACGAGGCATTATTTTAATAAATATGTGCTAGTTGGCAGAACACAAATCTGAACTTTGGACGTTCTGTGTATGATGTTGGTGTGTTTGGACAAATAAAAATTTTAATGAGAAAAAGTTAGTTTATAGCACACACACACACACACACACACACACACACACACACAAACACACACCACACACACAAAGATTTTCTAAAACGGTAGTTTTGGTCTGAATTAAGGACGGTAAAGTATGGTGTCCCGAGGGGAAATACTTTTCTCTATATTTATGAATTATTTGCGACTTGTTTTAGATGAAGCCAATGTTTGTTAACGATACAACTGTGTATATATCGTAAACTATAATGTTGCTGATTTAAATAATATACTAAAGAATTAACTAAAATTGATAAATCAATTATGTCTCTCAGGTCAGTGACGCTAAACTATTGGGGGTCACGCTTGATGAGCAACTGTCCTGGGGACGTCACACAAACAGTAGCTGCAAAAAATGTGAAGAGGGATATCTATTCCATAAGGCGCTCCCCATGTCTTAGTCCGATTTGCACCTTGCAGGTGATACAAGCCATAGTTGTCTTATCTTCATTCCTGATCAGTAATCTGGTGAAGTGCTGCCAAAAAAAATTGGGCAAAGATTCAATAGAGCAGCATGATTAGCACTTTGCTGTTCAGTAAGAGCAAGTATACATAAAACGCACACTGATCTCAGGCAGCTGAAGGTTGAAGATATTAACTTTGTTCAGAAATGTCATCGTTTTGATGCAACCACACAAAAGATTTTAAGAAGCCAGTAAAGAGGTTCTTGAAGACAGCACCGAAAAATAGATCAGTAAAATAGGCTTCCTTTGATTTTTTGCAATATGGATGTTTGGATAAATTGACATTATTGTTGGTGTTTTGTTTTACCGTCAATATGATGTAATTTCATTATTTCACGCAATGTTAAATGCAAATGTCTATTATTCCAATAAACAATAAACACACAGGGATCAAAACAAGCTTAAGTTCATCCAATGTTAAAGTAGGGTTATGTCTCATCTGTCAATCAAGCTGCAGTAGTAAACGATGTGAGAAACTATCATGTAGCTGTTAAAAGGAAATATTCAGTGTGCTACCAAGCTCCTCAACACACGAACCCAAGCATGCTGGCTGTTTAACCGGTACTTTACCTCCCCCTGCTGTTACTTTCACTGGCCACATGCACAATACTCCAAGTCATATTGTTAGATTTCTTTTGGAATATTATTGCCATCATATATGTTCCGTGGAAATGTGAAGGAAAGGGGATAAACTAATGGTTAACTTTGAACCACAACTGTCTGGTTGCTTTCTCACTGCTGGTTAACAAAAGTCACACATGTGAGGGCTCAGGTGTCGTGAGAGAGTTTTGATCTTGTTGAAGCAGCATCTCACATCACTTAACGGTATTAAAGTAGCCTGAAATGCAGGTATCCTATATGGCGGGTCCATCTGTCACTTCAGCTCTTCACTAATCCTTCATATCATGCCAAGTCAAGAGATATCCCTCCTCTTTTGCTTTCGCTGAGGTTTTCCTCATGTATTTATTTTTTATGTGTATTATCCTAATCCTGTATACTGTATAAATAAACTTGACTTGACTGGATTTTTGGGTGTTACGATGCCTATTTCTTTTTATTTACCCAGAACATGATTCATATTTGGCTCTTGTTATTATTAGTGGACTCAACTCAACATTATGATTTGGGAGAGAGAACAAAGTCAGTTATTGTTGGTGACACAAAAATGTTTCTATGTTTAGGAGAAAAGCTTCTGTTTTTTCTGAACCAAGAAAAAAGATGTGTCATTAAAATGAAAACGGAAACATTATGGGCTCATAGTGAAGAGTATAATCCAAATGACGAAGGCCTCACCAATGAACTTTCTTCACTCAATACCACAAACATTCACTATTGTTCCAGCAACTTTCTGTACACCGGCAAATATATTTTGGAAAACTAAAGTGGCTGAAAATTGTGGTTAAGTGGTGCAAGAGAGGAAACTTTCAGACATACAGGTTTAACTGAGAAAGTGAAGTGAAAGTTTCACTTCACTAACTCAAGCCTAAGAGATGTTGCTGCTATAATGTTAGCGCAGGATGTTTGCATATAAGATAAACATTAACAATATCTGGCGGAGGACATGCTGCATAAAGTGGTTTTCCTCACTTTCACAGGGCATTACAAACAGGCTCAACCTCAAGGCTCCCCCCTCCCCCGAGGACTTATTCAGCAATAATACAATGTACACACACACACACTCCTTCCCTCCACCTGCCCTGCAGTCGCTTCCTTTTTCTATGTTACCATGGTTACCTTACAACCAAATTACACTCTCCTGGGCGGCAGGTGAAACAGCTCCACTGGGCCTTCGGTGCCTGTGAGGACAACAAAAAATAAACAATCATGGCAGGCGTGCACGGCGTTTGGACAAATGCTTGAGATGTTGAATGTGTCTCATGAATTTTCATTTGCATGTGTTGTTTTTACTGAACTGGATATATTATCACATATCAAACATATATTATCATATATAAAGCCCATTGACCTCTTTCTGTCGTGCATATATAGCTGTTTTCATGGCCGAACAAGCTGCTGCTGCTGAAAATGAAAATGAGATTCTCACTGCAGAGAGAAAACAAAAACGGACACAAAGGTATTTTTCTCCCAACTGATGTATCATATAATTCATGGGGTAAATGCTTCACGAATATGTGACAGAAATACCTATTTCTCAGTCATCTAGAGCTCATTTGTCTCTAACAGACGGTTCATTCACCTTTGGAATGTATTCATCTGGAAAGCAGTGGGAGAGACACTGTTGTGACAGTTTTGATCTTCAGTCAGCAGTGGTGCACATACAGCTCCAGAGGAGGCAGACATTGCCACTTTCTGGCCTGAGACATAATGTCACAAACATTTAGGCCAACCCTGACAAGAAAGGTAAATTATTCTTCAAAAATATAAAGGCAAGTAAGCTGAATTTAGGTTATTACTTAAACACATCCCCAAGTTCCTCACAACCCCCGGTTAGGTGTGAAAAAGTTTGCCAGAATCCACCATCTGGTGACACTAATAATCATGTTAGACTTGTCACACCGGGTGAGAACATCACCTCACTGCCTAAAAATACATTCTATCGAAATGATACTTCCAATAATAATCAAAATATAAAACTGATAATAATAATAATAATAACAAATCTGTGTTAAAGGGGGAAATTTGCGGTTGTTCCGCAGTCCAGATGTGCAGAGCGCCTCCACAACACCCCCGCGCTGCGACGTGAGCACGCAAAGCCGAGGCAGCTGCGTCAAGTCCGCCAGAGATAAGAAGATACAAGAAACAAGACGATTGATTTTGCCTTCAAAATAAAAGAATGCCATGTCGCAAAAAAAAAGATAATTGTTCAGTTTTAGTCAAGCGAAAAAGGATACCTTGACTAAATAATGACACAGCCAACAGTCAACTGATCAGGTGCAGTGTTGATAGGTCTAGTTATTTCAATATTTTGATCAATACCTGCATTTGCTGTTCACAGCGTCACTATTGAGTGTCGTGAAGGGGTGAAGGTTGCGAATGAATGAGCAAGCTAGACATATATTTGTCCCATAAAAGGACAGGTCTACTGGTGAAAGTGCCTTCTGTTTTTATGCAACTAAACTGAGGAAAACGCTGGCTATGGCAAGCGATCTCTTAAAAAGGAAATTAACTATTTTTTCAAATCTGGATTTAAATTTCGAGCAATGTTACAGCCTCAGGTTTTTTAAAGTTTTAAAAATGTTTTTTAATATTATTATTCTTTTTTTTCCCATCCCTGGTGTTTATTTTATTCTATTTACTTGTCTTTATTTTCAACATTTCATTGTTGTAATTGTCAACATTGTATCTATTGTTGTCTATTTTCATTTTAGTTTTTTTTGTCTCTGTGAAAACCGAGCAAAGACAAAGCAGGTGAATGTTTTGTAGCCATAACAATCTGATAATGTGCCAGTGGTTCTGTCAGCCTTGTGTGTCCCTCTCCGGTGGTCAAAAACACGAACACAACTTTAAAATTGCAATTACTCTGCGCTGTGCTGTTTTGTTTTACTCACTTCAACCTCTCTAACCGGAAGCCGTGTGTCCTCATTGCGTGTCTCTTGACACTGACCATTGAAGGAAAACGGAGCAGAAGAGCGAAACATGGCGACTTCGAACAATCCGCGGAAATTCAGCGAGAAAATCGCTTTGCATAACCAGAAGCAGGCGGAGGAGACGGCGGCGTTTGAAGAAGTGATGAAAGACCTCAGCATTACTCGGGCAGCGAGGGTAACGACGCCGCATCTTGTGTTTTTTTTTCATTATTTGGTCTCCCACCTCTTCTTCGTTTGTTTTCATCGAGCTGTCAAATATGCATTTGTAGCGCGGAGCCGCACGCAGCCAGGGCAGCATAGGTAAACAATAACAAACGACGCTTCCTGCAGCTGTAGCCTTTTTCTAGCACAGCTGACAACCAACAGAGCTGGCAGGAGGCACCAGTCCTGTAATGCAGATATGAATGACAGGGTCCCTCTTGCGAAAAAGTTATTACATTTTTTTTTTTGTCCCACGCAAGTGGAAAGCAAAGGGGCGTGCATGCGTATTTGACAGCGCGCGTCCAACTGCAGCGAGGATTTTCTCCTCGTCTCGTGCTCTCAGAGAAGAGGCGATTAATCAAAAAGATGTCACAGGCTGTAATAGAAATGTGCATATATTTTGTAATGGTAAATACTTGGTGGTGTGTGTGGTAGGTACGGTAGTGATACATGGCGAAGCGTGTCTGCACCGTGGCTTTGTAAACTTGTCTGACAGGTCTTCAGGCCTGTGTGCACTGCAACGTGACGATAGACAGTCACACCAAAGATGAAGCTGGCAGATTATGTCGAAATTTAAGCCACATACAGTGCAGGCCTCCAAAATAAATCCTTCGGAGGCAGGGATTCAGTATACTGACTAGCTGCTGGTTGGAAGCAAGAGGGGCAGACAGATTATAACGACACAGCACACATGGAGCTACTGCAGTGCTTGTTGTATGATTCAAATATATAGAAGAAGAATGTGCAAACAATATCTGAATACATCCCTGTTGTCATCCTGTGATATCCTGCTGCTACAGGATTGTTTTCTTATAAGCTTTTTTTTCCTCTCTTTCTCAAAACTGCAAATTTACTAAAACTTAAAAATAAAAATAAAAAAACAACTCTTCCACTGAGTCTTTTTCACAGAAGCCATTTGATGTGTCACAGTAGGAAAAGCGCAGGTGAATACAAATAATGATGGCTGAATTCCATTTAGCTGCTTTGGTGTCGGGGTCCTAGTGTAACACAAAATTGTAATTTTATTTAGTTTAATTTCTTCAAACTGATGACTCAGTTATATCAGGATGACCACGTATTTCAGGATACACGTCGAGACATGTTAGCCAGAGAGCTCATGTATTTTCATTTAATGCATTGTCAAATGGAAGGAAGCTCTTGTCTGAGCCAACGTCAGACCTGCGTGAAGTGGGCCTCTGGTTTAGAGTTTCATCCTTTTCACACTGTCCCCCACCTCTCCCCTTCACCTTCTCACTGTCTCTCTTCTCTCTGCTCCTGTCTTGCTGTGGTTGAAAAAGATTTGGATCGTCGTCTTCCTGATCCTGAAGTGTTACAATAAGTAGTCATTTGTCCTCAGAGTAGGCACACGTGTGGCTGAAGAGATGCACTCTTGAGGTCGAAGGCTTATCAAACTACACCAGCGATGCAGGCGTAGTAATTGTTCTTATTTGATTTTCTGCCCTGCCAACACTGAGCAGTGGGCTTGCATGAGAACATTTAATTGACCGGTTATGGGTTCTCAAATGGGAAATGGAACTGGAGGTTGCTTTAGGACAAGAACACTGTAGTAAGGCATTTTGGAAATTCAACCATGTGCGAGTTCGGTCCATGTTGAATTATCTCAGACGAGCTGTGCTTCTGCCTAAAGTGTCTCACATGTAAAATGTATTACATTCACATTGCACCGCTGGCCTGCATCAAGCTTAGCCAGAGGATGTCTATCAAAACAGAAAACATCAATAAGCATGGTGGTTTCAGTTGTGCCGTCTGTAAAACACTATTACACAATTATAAGACATGCGATTGAGGTTGGATTACTATGAAGGTGTATAAATGTCCGCCTTTGCTGTCATCATTAATGGTATTGTTGATTCCATCTGGTTGATGTCGGCCTGTTGAGTGTTTTACTCCAGTTTGTTGTGTTTCTGTCCCTGGAGCCTCAACTTACCTTGACTGAGAAACAGCCGTTTATTCCTTTTGTAAAGTTCCCACAGTGGCTTCTTGTCTTACCTGGTGATTCTCTGCTTCCAGCTACAGTTTCAGAAAACTCAGTACTTGCAGCTGGGACCGAACCGTGGGCAGTACTATGGAGGATCTTTGCCAAATGTCAATCAGATTGGAAACGGCACGATGGATATGTCTTTTCAGGTGAGGGAGTATTTTATTTTCTTCTTTTCAGCAACAATTTAGTGGATGCAGAGTAACACATGTCCATTGAATGTTGTCAAATGAACATTTAATTTGTACCAGGATTTGTTTTAGTAATCATCCACAGCTGTTTCTTATAAATAAATATCCCTTTTGCCCATCTCTGTGGCTGAGTAATATCCTGCTGTATTTAGTCAACACGGGGCACATGTTTACATTTGCTTTTTTAAACAGCTGGTTAATGAGATCCTTGTTTCCTGGGTTAAATACTCTACACAGGAAGTGACATACTTAATGTTTATATGTGTAAGCAACAAGAGTACTTTGTTTAGAATAAATGGCAGAAGGCAGAGTAAATATACCGACCCACCGTCTACATTATGTGTCTGTTTTACAACAGAGCTCTAAGTCAAGATAACAGTGTGTTTTTTAATAACCGTTGTCTCCAAAGTCTTGAGAAAGAGAATTCATCCATAACTCTGAACTTCATATATTGCTTTCACAACTTATCAACCACGCAGCGTGGTTTTTCTTTTTTAGCACCAAAAGTAAATATTTTCTGTGGTTAATAGTTAATAGAAACATTATTAACTCCGTCTTTAGTAGTTTCAAAGATGGAGGGAAATGTTAAATTCTATTTTTTATTAAGTTTGTGAAGGAAAATAACAAGGTTACTAAGGGAAACTTTTTTAAATTGCGTAATAATGAATATTCAAAAAATGAAGAATATTCAAGTTTGTATGTGATGACAAGAATAAAAATGATGCAGACTGCTTTTCATCATTAAATCCTTGTTATAGTGCCGCCGCATCATTTCATAAAGGTATATAATATAATATAAAGGTAAATCTGACTGAGACCCTCCCATTGATAACCAAAAACTCAAGTAAAGGAAGTACTTATATGGATGTGTTTAAAGATGGAGGGTGGTGGGAGTTGGCTTTTGTTTCCCCATCAAGGCGCAGTTCCTCCATGAATCATGATGAATGATGACCCATGCAATTATTACTCAAGAAAATACTTATTTTTTCCAATTTCCTGTCGTCCTTTTTGCCCAAAGCTCTATAGACTTTCATCCGTGTTCTACATGCAGCTCATTTAATGCAAGAGCTCAGATCACAGGTTTATTTTCAAGGACAGTGTTACGGAGCTTGACTACATGAACTACTGCAATACTTTTATTTAAATGAATGACTTCCAAGCGTAAGAAAGGATTTAGTTGTGTTTTAATTTCATATTCAGTACTGTCCAATACAGCGGACTGATGTTCTAAACCCTCACACACACACAAAAAAAAGGTGACTTGGAGATGAAATGTAATGCAGTTCAGTTTATTTTTTCTTTCTTTTGTTTGACAGAATTCAGGGCTTGATGCGAACAGATCGACGCGACACCACGGGCTGGTGGACAGAGTCTACCGGGACCGGAGCCGTATCACATCCCCCCACCAAAAACCCCTGTCTATTGACAAACATGGACGCCAGATATCCTTTAATAATAATAATACCGTCTGCTTATTATGCTGTTTATGGAGGTACTGAGGTTAGATGCAGAAAACTGATTATTCTGGTTGAATAGACCTTTGATGTCACTCTTACTCGTAGTAAAAAAATAACTAAGTTGTAAGTTGTCCCGGCCTAAAATTAGCTATAGGAACAGTAATATTAATATTTACATTTAGTTTGTGTGTTGATTATGTGTAATTGAATCAAGTTAATGAGCAGGCGCTCCTTGTTTCTGCATAGGATCACTGGGCTACTATGAAATAATTTTATTAGAGATTATAAAACTTTAGAAGATGCATGTTGTTATGTAGGATTTCTTTACTCTGGTTACACACGTGCCTAAATGTTGCTCATGGGTGTTACAGATGTTTATATAGCTGCAGAATTACTGAACTTGTTTTTTTGCATGCTTGTAAACGACTTCCGCTTGCAATTAATTAAAGCCAAATGATGACTGTGTTCGTAATAAGCAGCATGTACAATGAGCCAGTCAGTATTATATATTAGGCCTCGACAAATATCAGAGCGTGATGTTAAGCTCACTGCTCATTATGCCTCACTGCTATCACCGCTGGTTTATTTAAAGCACCGCCAGCACTGTGCTTCTTGATTTCATCTGCTTGTGTGAACACATCGAATGTGCCAAGACTTCCAGTCTCCAGCTGTATTTTCTTAACCTGCGCTCTCACATTGACAGCTGTCCATATGGTTCAGTATATCTGTCACCACCACCTGATACCAGCTGGAGGAGGTAAGACAGCCTCTAGGGATGAAACACGCACCCTGTTTATACTGTTCAATTCTACTTTATTTATACAGCCCAATATCACAAATTTGCCTCAGGGGTTTTTCCAATATGTACAACATCTTCTGTCCTTGGACCTCAAAAACTCATATCTTAGTGTTTTCTACTAGTTGTGATTATATTTAAACTTATTAATTCTGACTTAAATCACACTGCTTTGCACTATTTATTTCCTGGAGGATAGAAGATGCAAGGTCAGGTCAATACAAAACAAACTGGGAACATAGTGATTATACTCCTAACTGATTTATGGAAACATGTTGCATAATCACACATTTAGTGACTTACTTTCACAGATTGCTGTCATGGACAAAATGCTGCCTTTAGATTTTTTTTAATCATAAACCATTAAAATATACAGGATCACATTCAGATTATTCTAGATCCTTGTGTTACAACTTGCTTTGTTTTCTTTGTTGTTGTATTTCTGTTGCTTTGTTTAATTGTGCACACAAATAAATCTCAAATCTATCGCTTAATCTGCAGATACATTTTGGCCTTAATCTATTAATTGTTCGGTCTATCAAATTTTAGAAAATAGTGAAAAATGTCGATACCAGTTTCTATCCCAGTCAGTCCAAGATGATGTCTTTATGTATATAATGTCTTGTTTTGTCACTCCAAAGATATTCAGTTTAATATAAATCAGTGAAAAGTAGGAAATCTCCATATTTGAGAGGCTTAAACCAGCGAAAATGGCTCATAAACAAAACAGTTAGTGATTATTTCGATCGATTAATTGATTAGTCGACTATTCGTTGCAGCTCTAGGTTCTACCTGGTTTGAAGCTTGAACTCATATAAGATGTATAGTTCCTTTGCTTAACAACAGACAGTATTTCTTTCTTAGATTTGACTATACAATTCACTTTGTGATATCTTTTTTTTTTTTTTTTTTTTATTCTTGTGCTGCAGGACAAACTCTGACTCAGCACTGCACCAGAGCACACTAACTCCTGCCCAGCAAGCCTCTTTCACTGGAGGATCACAGGAGCTCCAGCCAAAAAGAGGTACATGTCAACGTTGTTAATTAAAACTTAAAATCTTAATATCTGCAGTAGCTGTTGGTGGGTGGGGCTGTTTTGATGTCAGCCTGTTTGATGTGGTGTTTTGCTGCTGTCTCTTGGTGGTTCAGTCGAGTGCACTACCGTTTGTGATGTCAGGGTCTGAATGTGGCTTTGAAGGCAGAGGAGGAAAAGGAGGAGTGCATCCAAGTGTCTGAAGAATTTCAATTTCAGGAGCACTTTGATTGACTTTGTATAAATCTCCTTGGAGACATTTATTTGGTGTTTGGCCATTATTGCCATTCAGTATTTCAGTTTTTTATCTTTTTGCTCTTTTTTCATTTTTCTTCCTTCCTTTTTTTCTTTGTGCTTTTGTCTTGGATCATATTAACCGAGGACATGTGGGCTGTGATTATTATAAGCTCAAACAGTCTGGACATCTGTAAACCCAAGAGAAGAAGGAGATTTTTGTTATTATTTTTCCATCTCTCCAGTTCTCCTGCTCACCGTACCAGGGGCTGAAGCAATTAAACAAGAGACTGATGAAGATGGCCAAAACCAGAACTGGGAGTGCAAAAAGGTGGATCATCTACATCCACATAATTGTTTTTCTCTATCAACTTTCATTTGTGTTCATCACAATACTAATTATTTTTTCTCTATAGAACATTTCAAGGTCCGAGTGTCCAGGGATCCAGTGAGTATTTTCCTGTTTTTCCTGTTTGGAGCTGGTGTGAGGAAATGTTTTCCTAAGTCCTAATCTTGGATGGTGAAGTGTAAATGGTATTTATTCAAATTAAGTGCACATTTACTCACATCCGATAAACGCAACCTATGAATACAAAATAGCTTTAAATTGAAGCCATCTGACTGTAATTAACATCATTTTCATTCACTCTACCAAAGCAATAAGAGCTTGGAGGCAAAGCATTTGCAAAAGCACCATTGGCCAAATGCATGATGTCCAAATATCTCTGGAGTTGTTTGTATTGGAAAACATTTCCAAGTGCTGCTCAGTAATAAGATGCTTAGTGTTTAGGTTTCCGTGCCTTCATTTCGTCGTTGACATCAGCCAGCTGGGCGTATTAGGCTCGTCTTCGCCAACAAGTTTCACGGCACCCGTCTGTTTTCTGCAGCATATTCCCGTCTCCGGACCAGCAGCTGACCACTTCACTGAAACCAGCAGCCCACAACACTGGCGGTTCTCTCCCTGACCTGACCAACATCCAGTTTCCTCCTCCGCTGCCAACCCCGATCGACTCAGACGATGCAGTGGTCGCCTCGTTCAGCTCCTCCAACAGCACGCAGACTCTGGCTAACACGCAAGGTAACAACCACCGACGGCGGTCTGCTCACCTTTAGCTGTAACATAGACAACTTTGGATTTTCCCAAAGATATGGATTCTAATTACTTTTTGTTTGAACATTGAGCACACTCTGGTGCCAATTTCTTTTTGACTCTGCGTGTGCTTATTAAAACTCTCTTTTTCTGTTTTCTGTGCACTGGGTAGGAGTGAACACCTCTCAGCCCTCAGTAACCATGGAAATGCAGCCTGGGCAGGATGACATGGTTCCTCTCATCCTGAATGCGGGAGACTCCCACCAGCATCAGAACCTGCAGCTCTCCCCAACATCTCCGCCTCTCACTCTCTCCCAGGTACAGCCGAGTGCTCTGTGCCATGACCTCGGCTCTCCTAAGAAAACCAATCGTGCATGTTTAATGGGTTGTTGATACCATTTAGTTTAGACACATTCCCGGCCATTCACATTCACATTGATTTTTGTTTATTTGTGGCATAACAATGCCCAGAATGAGCAATGTTTCATTAGTTATATATAAAATAATTGATTTTAAAGCTTATATAGGGGAAATCACTCCACTGAGCACGTCTTATATGTTGCTGTGCTCCCCCAGGCGGCCATCAACGCCATGAACCTTGAGCAGCAGCTGTCCCAGTACGCCTTCTTCAACCAGCAGCCGTCGTCCCAGACCCACCAGAACCAGCAAGTGAGTGTCTCTCCAGCACTCACTCCATCGGTTCGTTCATTCTTGCAATCACAACCAGCTCTGAACTGTCCTCAGATCAACACTTCCTGGAAAAAAACAACAACATTTTGATGAAGATTTGCTCTGAAGCACAGAAGCAGCAGTTCATGAATAATAAAAATAATGGATTCAAAACATGATTTGTTTATTTGCTCAGGAGTTAAAACATGAGGCCTCTATGATGTTTTATTCTGAGTAATGTTATGTTCTCTTTATATAGTTATCAATATTTGAGTAGTGACATTTACGTTGACGTAAACACATAATGTAAAGAAGAGGTAAAGACAGGATTCCACAAATCTATTTATGAAAGCATTGTAGTAAAACACAGGTACAAGATATTATAGTATGTCTGCCAACATACTATAAAAGTGATGTACTTAATCTATGATAAGCCAATATTAAAACTATAAAGTCATACTTGTCTGACTACACGATGTCTGTATCTATCTATAACCCTGCTCTCTATTCTCCAGCAGACAGGTTTGATCCAGCTGTCGTCCTCCGTGAACTCCTGCTCCACGTCAGACAACCTGACGTCCTCACAAGCCAACATGACCATGGACATGAACACGGTGAGCAGTGGACGCGTCTGTCTGCATCACATCAGTGTAATCAAAGTGATGACTGGTTCTTCCCAGTTGGTTCGCATTTCCTTCCTGAAATTGTGAAGGTACACACTGACAAAAAGTACAAATTAATTAAATAAAAAGCACAACAAAATGGGCAAAACATCAAGGAATCGAAATGCTTTTTGCAAATCGCTGCGCGTCCTTCAGATCTTGGCTCTTGCTGCTGTTCTTCTGCTGCAGTGGGAATGTGTTTGGATTCCTGCAGAAATGATGAAGTGGCCTACGCTCTCTTGGTCTCACTTATTGCAGCGTGGGGTCAAGTGAAACATTGTGAAGAGACACAGCAAGACACCAGCTTACATCTAACTTTCTGTTAATTTAACCACACACACTACACTCTTCAGTATATATGTTATGTACCACTTTGTTTTCAGAGGTGGCTTTCCATGTTTGACTCCGTTTCTAAACTGTAGATTTGAGGTCGAAAGCAAATCCAGTCACGGCAAGATGGAAAATACTTCTTTCAGTTTAATGAGAGTTCAAACAGGTCTGCTCTATAAATGATAATTGCACTCGTTTATATCTGTATCTAGAGGCCTTGAACTGCTTCATCACTTCTCTATCTCATGCTACCAATATTTAGACATCGTATCTGTCTATTAATTGATTAGGAACGTGGAGATCCGAACTCCTGTTGGCTTTTGAGTGATAAGAGATTATCAATCTCATTTGGTGCACCTCTAAATCTGAGTGACTTGATAGTTTATCTGTTATTTGCTATGACGGTAAGCTTTATTTTCTTTCCACACTTATGGTTGTGTAGTTGATATTGTGATCAGAATAGAAATCTTTCCTTTTTTTTTGAGCATGTGCAAATATTCTTCTTTTGATTTAGTCGGATGAGTAAATTGAAAAGAGCAGGCATGACAGAACAGAACAAAAGAGAGTCGTTTCTCACTGATCCTCCAGTTTTACAATATTCGCTCGCTTAACTTGGATTGCTGGCAACATTTCCCCTCTCCTAATTAGTCCCCTGTAGCTTTCTGTGTGTCTCCCAGATCTTTTCTCAGTATTATTGATGCATTGATGTGACATGTGGTACATGTCGGTCATTACTGTAATTATGCTGTATTTCAGCATTCGATTCTAGTATGCTGGGTTACAACCATTAAAAACAGTGAATCAATATATTATTGATTCCTCGGGTCAGGATGGCGAAAGGTAAACTGGATAACCTACAGTAATACAAGCAAAGCTCCATATCCAGCATGAGGACTCTGACACACACAGACGCCAGTAAAGAATATCCTCCAATGTGAATAACTCCAACGTATCCTCTTGTATCAGGCCTCGTCCCTTCAACAGTACCGCAGTAGGGTCGGATCCTCTGCCAATCAGTCTCCGACCTCCCCCGTCTCCAATCAAGGCTTCTCACCTGGAGGTTCGCCTCAAGTAAGGGCGTGTGAACCAGTGAGCTGCTGGCTCGCTGTGTATAAACGTCACCGTCCCCTGCATCGTAGTCCTGTGGTTATCGTTGCCAAGTAGGACTCTGTGGCTGCCCTCCTACAGCTGCTTGTATTGTGTTGACATTAGCAGATCTGGGCAAAGAAAACAATGTGATATGTCAGTTTATTTCAAGCACTCGAGCAAATCAAACCACAAACAGGCTATTTATTTATTTAGCTGTTGAATTACTTCTGTAAATATGGAAGGCAAAAAAGGACGACAATCTTGTGAACAAGAAGATCTTCTCAGTATGCTTCACAGGAAACATTTTTCACAGCTGACATTTTAACATGTCATGGCAGGTGTTTCACAGGTTTTTTGTTTCGCAACATAATTATTGTAATTATTGTTATTGGTTACACCATGATAGAAGGAAGTAAAGCCTTACATTGTCAAGAATTTCAGGCAACATTCTTGGAGATGAGAAAAAAAATAGAAGTATAATATATCACAATTTAGAGTTTTTAATCCATGTCATGACTATGATTACAGTTATAGATGTTATAGACATGAGGTAGTCCCTGTTTTGCCCAGATCTGACCCCCAGTCTCTTTAAGCACTCAGTGTCATTGATGTGTTGTTCTGTAGCTGTGTCCCCGACCTTCCTTCTCTGCTGCTTTTGTGGTATTTACGTTGCATCTCCACTGTTTCCTTCCCAGTCTTGCTATATAAGACTATGTACCGGAGTTTTTTTTTTTTTTTATGTTCATCAGATCTTTGTGTTTTTGTGGTTTTTGCATCAGCATGGGGATTTAAGGTAGTATGGGAAGGGAGATGGTAAACCGACCCCCTTGAACCATCATTTTTTTTAGGAGAAGCTGCAAATCATTCTGGTGGTTGAATCTCTACAAACTGAACCTTGCTTGCAGGGTGGTGCTTGAAGATAAACTAAACACACCCAAGGTAAACATGGATTAGGGTTGTTAGTCTGTTTGAGATTTGAAACCCTGGCATTGTAACTCGTTAACTGCTGAAGGGTTAGTGGAAAACTTTCCCAAAATAAAACCTTGAAATACACATTAAAAAGTACATCATGTAAAGAAATTAGATTCAGTGCTTAAACGAAGAGTTAGCTAGCATTTTAAATAAGCATTTGCTTACACTGAAGGGTGAGTTTGTGTGTGTTTGAGATCCATAAAAAGAGAAATGTGTGCGTGTGCGTGTGTGTGTGTGTGCATTCGTTTTTAAATGTTTGTCCTGTTTGCTTACCCAGCTCAGTTCTGACCTGAGGTGAAGTAGCTCACTCGTAGTGCTGAGGTTATCCACGGGCTAAACCACAGCTGACAGGCTGTATGCTCTATTATTCTGTTCTGCCCTGTGGGGACATCTGCAGCACACACAGATAATTTGGTTTTGAACTAGGAGGAGCAGGGGCTGAGAATATGATCCAATTACTTATACATTAAGAGGCCACGATGAAATAGGAGAATTTCTGTTGCTGGTTCAATGAGGACATTCAAATGAGGAACTTGAAGAGAATTAGCTTCCACTGGATGAGTCAGTGAAGGGAGAGTAAAGTCACAAAGGGGATTATATTTTCTCTCTGTTTGGATTTTATTAATTACAACACCAAGGCCAGAAGGCAGCAGAGGAAGGAGTATGGAAGGAGTTGCATTTTCAAAGTCCGCATCCTTATCTTAAGCTGACTGATTTTGGACATTTGGTGGTCAGTTGTTAGTGTGTACTGACCTTTGGGATGATGGTATGGAATGGTTCTTATTCACATAATTCATCAAGTCCCTTACTTGTGTATTTGCATTCCTATTCATTTGTTTAGTCATTTACTTAGTTTCACATTCTTTTGCAGGTTTTCATTAATATTCATACAGTATTTTAGTGTTGAGATAGGAAAATGCTGCCAAAGTGACACCTTGTCTTGTAAGTAGCTCTCTTTATGAAATATTCATGCATCACTTCTTGTGATAGTGGATGCCTGCTGATATCACAGCAAATTCTGTAAATACTGCAAGCTTTGCAAATATTGCAGGGACCGATTTAGTTTGCATTTATTATTGAAACAGCAGGGTTCAAATTCCTCACATGTTTGGTGTCTGTCTCTTGCTTTAAACACCCATTGAAAATGAAGCAGTTGAATTATGTGTTTATTACATGACTGTTAACTGCTTCTTCTGTGTGTGTGTGCCGTCCTTTTTGAAATTCAAGCTATTTTAACTTTTGCACAGCTTTTTCCTCTCTGCAAAATACACACAAGTCAAGTTACTCAACCCAAAGAATTCCATTTCCAGATGCTGTGAGGTGATATTTGTTGTTCCAGCATTGTTGCTGCTTTGACTGTGTCTTTTTCATATTCCACATTTCATGTTAAGTGTATAACTCCTGCAGCCTGGATGAAGTGTGTATATAGTTGATGCTCAACACTGGGAGATTTTTTCTTCTTCTTTTATTTAGTCTAAATAAACAGATTTGGCCTGTTTGTTGTTGCAGCATAACTCCATACTGGGCAGCGTGTTTGCAGACTTCTACGACCAGCAGCTCCCGTCCATTCAGGCCAGTGCTCTCTCACAACAGGTACAGACTCTGGCTGTTTTCAGGCAAAGCCTAAATGTTCAGTTCTTCTCTCAGCCTGCTCTTGCTTTGGAGCCATTACATGAGCAGCAGCGACAGCTGTGATATTTCTTCATGTTGTGATTGCCAGTTGGAGCAGTTCAACATGATGGAAACCCCCATCGGCTCTGACAGCCTGTACAACCAGACCTCCACCCTCAACTACTCCCAGGCGCTTATGATGGGTCTGACCGGTGGCCATTGCAACCTTCAGGACCAGCAGCAGCTGGGCTACAGTAGCCATGGCAACATCCCCAACATCATTCTCACAGGTGCTGCTTCGACATTTGATGTAGCTCACTTAAGTCTTACAGCAAGTGGCTTTAGCTGTGTTAAAAACATTTGTAGAGATTTCCAAAATCCCAACCCAGAATAAAGCTTGTGCTTCATATTTGCTTGTTTTATCTTAATATAGTGAGTTTCTCGGACACTGATTCATTGCAGGACTCTTACGAATGCATTCGATTGTACCGTTATATACCCGGTAAACTAGCTTTAAATTGTCTGCTGTTTATGTTAATCTGCCTCTCCTGCAATGGGAGAGTAATGTATTTGCAGGTAATCTCTAAATAGATGTGATACTGACATACCCCACACTTATAAGTAGGGAAATTATTTTCCAGTTCTGTAGGAACGCACATGCAACATCCAGAGCGAGCTTTCAGTCAATCCACAATCACCAAGTATTCAACAAATAATAAACCTATTAATAATAAACCTATTCAAATTGTATGCAACAGGATTTTTCCCTTCAGTTGTTTGTGAAAATTAGCAGCCCGCTGTTAACGGAAATGTGTAATTAAGATGTCATGGCTCGTACAGAGCAAAGTACAAAAACATTCAGTCTCTTCTTGCTGCCAATCATGTCCTCTCTCATTTTTATCAGCGAGCCTTCCCTCTACCCCTTAAAAACCCTCAAAGAGATAAATATAATAATAATAATGCTCATATGTTTTCTGTCTTGCCTCTGCTCAGTGAGCGGGGAGTCTCCCCCCATCCTGCCCAAGGACCTGACTGGCTCGTTGTCCACAGATATCAGCTTCGATGTCGACTCCCAGTTCCCACTGGATGATCTCAAAATAGACCCGCTGACGCTTGATGGCCTTCACATGCTAAATGATCCGGACATGGTCCTTGCTGACCCCGCCACAGAGGACGCGTTTCGCCTCGACCGCCTCTAACCACTGCACCACCTCATGCCCAGGTGTGTGTGAATGCTGCTGCCCTGGGGGTGCGAGGGGGGGAGCTTCAAATCTGAGAGAATAAGAACCAAGAGGAGCAGCTTTCTGGAGTGTGCTGGTTTAACACCTCGTCTGGGCAGAGCATCGATTTCACCCCAACCAACTCAATCAAACCCCACAAGAGAGCATTTAAAAGAAACATCATGCGTTCAAATGTTATTGAAGACTGGAAACCTTGAAAACTGGAAAGATGGCTTACGACTGATGACAAGTTACGGTATGAATGATCTTCATGGTTGTGTCACTACAAATGACACTTTCAATTTTGATTTATTTAGATGGTTAGTGTTCATTCGAGGGAGTTTTGATGAAAGTATCATGAGGGCAGAGGGAGGCTGGTCTGATATTCTCCATCAATGACGGACTAAACCACGTCTGCAGAGCAAACCCTTAATCTACAGTATCGTACACCTGTTAACAAAGAGTAGCTTGATGACTCAGAGGAAACACAAGTTTAACCTCCCTTTGTGCCAAGCTGACTGCTCTCAGCAGTACATTCAGTTTGGATATAAATTTTGTGATAATCCCTGTGTAGTTGGTCATAGATGGTTTGATTTTGTTTCAAATTTCCTCTAAAGTTTTGAGTGACGACGAGTCACTAAGTTATTTTCAGGAGATGCTGAATTTTGATTTTACCATAGTAAATAGCAGCCATTGGTTATGCATGAAATCACAAATCACTGTGCATACTTGTTTTGCCTTAATAGCTTGACATTTTCGTTTTCATGCAAAGACGACTATTATGTAAATCAGAAAAAGATTCACTTGTCAAGTCATTGTTACTGTTTTATAAGTGGTTTGGCCTACATCATTCACAGTTGCATTGTATTTTTGAGGTGTGCTGATCTTTATACATTACTTCCTCCGTTGTCACTACCATATCATTTTTCATGCCTCAGTCGGATCTAAAAGGATTAATGAGTTCTTTGTTATGAAACAGATGTTTACATGCTTGTTTCGTTTGATATTTTACATGTACAGAATGTGATTAGATTTTGCGTAATGGTATCTATGCAAAAACTACAGCGATTGGTTTAGGACTGTAAAATGAAAAAGATAAAAATGAACCATTTCAAAAGGAGGCAAATGTGCAAGGTTGTTTGAGAATGCACAGCGATGGTGCCATGTTATATTTCTTTTGATACTTCTGAAACTCTTTACATTTTCCTTTCAGACTAGTACGGTGTAGAGAGAAAGGCTCAGTGCGTGTGTCATACAGTAGAAGCTCTCCTGGATTACTCCCAAAGATGTGACCTCAGTGTAGTTGAAATATATATATTTTTCCAGACAATTGAACTGCCTCTATACTAGAACAGCATTGTTGATGCAATGAGAATGTATTTAGGTCACATCTGTACAGCTGTGTTGTTGCCATCGTGTCATCCTCATTGCCTCTTATATCTAGCCTTTATGTACTGTAGGACCAAATATTTTTCACCTGTTATTTTTTTCTCCCTGCAAAGGAGATGTGACATACTGCTTTACATATGACTTTTGTTGTTTTCATGGCACTACAGTGACACTGAATATCCGTTTCCTCGTCATGCTTGTGTTGTCTGTGCCCTGTATGGATCTGTTCCATGTCTCCGGCCGTTGGTTCTGCATTTATGTGGTTTTAAACATTTGCTCTTTAAAAGGACCCCTGTGTGTTGTGAGTGGATCATAACTGTCTCATCTCTCATATTGCACTTTATGTATTCATTTAAAACACTGATTTATGAGAGTTTATATACCAACCCCCCCCCCCTGTGACTGTTATGTGCACTGGACCCGTTTGTCCTGTCTCTGATTAAACTTGCCTTCTTGTAAAAAAAAAAAAAAAAAAAAAAAAAAAGAATTATGAAAAAAAAGCTGTTTAAATTATAGTTATTTTTTGAAAAGTCATATACAGATTTAAAATAAGAATTTTTACTTAATCAGTGAGTATTTTGTTAGCGGTTTACTGTTGCAGTTTTCCTGGATTTTGGAAAACATTTGTATTTTGGAACAGTGGGGATCAGAGGTGTGTCAATCACGTTGCTGCAGCTCTTTCTGCTATTGATGGCAGGTTTGAGAAAATAGATCGAGAAAAACATGTAATTAATTACTGATTTACAAATGAAAAGTTTATTATTGAAATATTTAAAGTTGCAAGTAGTATAGTGTGATTTCTCAGAGGAGTACATTTGAAATTTGCATATTATCACAATATTGTGCCAGATGGTATAAATATATTTTAATTCAGTCCAGATATAATTCTTTCTAAAATGCCCAATATAAGTTCATTTTCATGAATATTCCACACTATGAAGAAGGTCATTCTGTAGCTGCAACATTATTTCTGTTGATGTGTGTCAAGGTCCTCTAGTGCCAGCATATCCCACCATCATTCTCACATAATGTAAATGTCAATTCAAAAAACGTCCGTTAACAAATCTGTTAAAACTAAGTTGTTGAGCGTGAAGATTTTCCCCCCTTTTTTATTTTTTAGATGAATCGCATTTCTGAATTATGGTCTTTTCTTTCCTCCTCCCCCCGACTTTAATAATGTTGTTACGGCATGAATATCTATACGTTTTCCCCTTTACAGCTTGGGTTTTATTTTCATTCCAGGGTCGAGTCGACTTTGTTTGTCAAAGTGTTTTGTTTTTCTTGTTTGGTAATGTTGTCCTTTGTTCTATCTTAATTCAGCGTCATGTGTATAGGCTAATGTATCTGCTAAGTGAAGCCTAAAAGCATCGGAAATATGGTAATCAGCCTTTTATGCACATGTAGGAGCTTTTGTTTGGTACTATGTTTTACACTGCAATATACTGTATGTGCTTATTTTCTGTGCTACACCAACAGAGCTTTATTATGTCATGGTAAATCTAGAGTAGCTTTGTATATTGCTGTACGGTAGGAATAATGTTTTTCGTGCTTTATGTGATATGATGTCAAAGTGAGAAAATGCACTGAGAAATACTGCGCTGCAATATGTCGTTGTGGCTCGATATTCTCTGCTGGACCTCAGACTTTATAGAGAGCCTGAAATCTTTGTAGGTCCATTTTCTGTTTTGCTTTTCTTTGTGCTCATGTAGATAGCTCTGATGCGTCGCCTGTTACTGCCACCTTTTTATGCATCAACGTTCAGGCATCCATTGGTATTATACCAGTGTTTACAGAGACAAGAGTTTACAACAGGGCAATGTTTGTTTTACTCTCCATAAAAACATGTTCACTAAATACTGTATCTGGAATAACAGACTACATATGAACAACTTGCAGTGTAGGATAGCAAACGTATTTTGCTATTTAGATTTACCAGTGAATCAATGATGTAATTTCAATACTATGCCCTAAATAATACATTATATTTGATGAGGTCTTCATTCATAAGCATTTCGAGGCCCTGAAAGCACTTTTTATTTCAATTACAGAATTTTATTTATCAGAAATTCCACTTCCTATCTACTTACTATGAGCAGCTACATGCCATCAGAAGTTGTTTTGTTTTTTTAACAGAATAGGTACTATTTAGATTTTATTTAATTTAGTTTTATAGTAAATCTGTCATTAGCACTGTATATTATTAATCAACAGTTGAACCAGGAAGCCAAAGTACAAAACAGCCATAAATGAGAGAATATTTAGACATTTTATCCCTCTAACTGTTGAAACACAACCTTTCCCATTGTTTTTCAAAATATTGTAGTGGGGTACGAGTTATTTCATATATCAACTATGAACGTATCAATGCATCTTTGAACATTATTACAGAAATTCTTTCAGCTTAACTTAAAGAGATGCGACTGACATATCCTACCTACTACCTGGGGAATCTCTTTTCTGCATGACGCTGAATTCCAAAATATCTCAGACGATACCTTGACATATTGCATTTTGCTTTAAATGAAGTATTTAGTTTTGCTTTGTTTTATTAATCTGCTCTCAGACACTATTTTGTAGTGAATATTACTATATACATATTGTTTGATAAATAATATACCGTAGGAAATAAAATAAGAAACATCACATACAAATACTCTACAGTCAGGCTATATATCTATCCACATATCTATATATATATATATATATATATATAGATATATATGTGGATAGATATATTGACTTTGTGACACATATTAAAACAGAAACTGAATCAGGAAGACGGAAGAGTAATAGTGGTGCACAGTCACTCAGTGGGTCACCCACTCTATGAATCCTTTATGTACATTTTGAGGACAGCCCGCTGCTGGTTCAAGCCTCATACAATGGCAGCTAAATTGTTATACAATGTTTTTTTGTTTCTGAGAACAGTGATACTATTCCAAACACTGCACATGCATTTTACTGCCGTGATGGAGTGCACCACGCTCCTATAGTATAAGCTCGCAGCAACGGGAAACATTATGCTCATAGAATATGCAAAATCTAGCATTCTGCAGCACAGCTTGGCAAGTTGGTACTTTTTTGACCTAACCCTTTAAAAATTACGTGGTTCAAACCTTGTTCTTCAAATTGTGTGTTTTCTATTTAAACTGTTAAATCGGACCAAAAGAATCCAAGTTGGCTGTAAATGTGTGCTATATAAAAGATGAATTACGCTTCTGTTTGAACTGTACCTGATGTAGTTTTCTTGTGTGAAGGCTTCTGTCTTTGTATCTTTGCATTATTATTTGTAAATGAAATGAAAATAAATATATCTGACTAAGCAAAGACGTTTCTTTAATCTTATTTTTGTCATTAGGTGGACTACAAAAAAAACAATAAACAACAAACTAAACCAGTATTTACATGATGATGATAACAGCCCCCATAACTGGCATAACTCAGACTTTCACACCCACTCCACAGCTTCATGCTCAGCATTTGCCCGGCCTCTCCCACTCTGTCCACACTAACAATTCTACCGAGTTGACACTGGACATTTTGCATGTGGGATGGGTATGACAACAGTAATAACCAAAGTGACTAGAAGTAAGATCTCTGTCTTTTCTACACAGGGTTCATGATTATGTTGCGAAGGTTTTTATTTATTGCTGTATCTATTACAACAGACAAATCCTAATATGGCTTTCCCCTTTTTCCTTTATTGGCAATACTCATATAGCCAGTGACTTCTACCTGAGCAAATAATATGACAAATATATTCTTCTTAAGCCACTTGAAAACCTTTCAAAAAATATCGGAATGCACAAAAACTAAGCATGAATGATCCCCCCCAAATAATCAGCAGTTCAGCGGATCAAATTTAAAGGCCAAGTTCCGGGCTTCACCATCACTGATGCCCTCAAATGACTCGACAGTGTCTTACAACCAATGTGGTCCAGTGATGCAGCATCTTTTCTTTGAGTTGTTTTACTCTCTTTTGGCAACTGAATGACTCCCTCTGCTGGTGGAATGCTGCAATATAAAGTCATCATTCTTGATAAATCATAGTAACTTGCATGTTGTGGTAAAGACATCCATATCACACTTTTATTTGAAAGCATCAAAAGTGACCTTTAGTAAGGTTTTAAAATGTGATAATATGTAATAGCTGAGAGATTTTGCAAACTGTGTGTTTGGGAGTGTGTGTGGTTACTGCTACAATATTGGGGGAAATCGTTTGGCCAAAGTTGATCGACAAATAACTCGACAGATGTTGACATGATTCTGTGCTCCAGGAGGAGGGAAAGTGAAACCTGTGGGCCTCTAACTAATTGTGGATTGAAAATGTGTGATCTGAGCTTTGCTATTTCTCTTAAGTGTGGCATGTAGCTTACTTGTTTTCTATTCCTTGTCTCTGTTGTTCAGTTTAGACCTGAAACGGTTAGTCTCAATTCATTGATCGACACAAAGTTAATCACCAACAATTTTCATGACTTAGGAATTATAAGTCGTTTATCAAGCAAAAATGCCAAATGGTATTTGGTTCCAGCTTCTAAAATATGAGGATTTGCTTTTTTTTTCTGCTTTGTACCCATTGTACAGTGAATACCTTGGTTTTTTGACTATTCCTCTGACTAAATAACTAATTAAAAAATGTGTGATGGACTTTTACGTTGCATTTGCCATTTTTTTCATAGGCTACATACCACCGACATATACATATAGTGTATATATCAGCAGATCAGGAGGACATCAACAAAGAAGCCGTGGAGTAAACCCTTAATACATCAATGGGTACAGAGTGGAGGTGAACGCAGGGATGTTTACTTGGTTACGTACAGACGTCAGAGCGCACACATCGTATCCCAGCATGCAGCAGGAGGCCGTTGAGAGATCCAGCAGCTGGTAGTGAGTTGCTAGAGCGCCCATCAGGCACCAGCCAACGGTCAACACTGAACACACATTTCTCCATGTGAGAACATCTGAGCCGTCTACCTCACAGGCGACTGAAAAATAATGCCGTTCGGACGCCCGACGTGTTACCGCAGCGGCTTTTGAGTCATCATTGTCACCAGGTTTTCATTTTGGAGGATTCCTCCCTCCATCCTCCCGGATCGCACCGAACAGGCAATGACAACGGTCTCGGCTACCCCGCAGCAGATGAGGGACCGGCTGCTGCAGGCCGTCGACAGTCACAGCAATGTGAGTGAAGCTAGCCGGCTAGGAAGCTAACGTTAGCTTGTTTACCTGAACTCTGGCAAACTACACAAGGCAGTTCGAACATCAGCTGTCATTTAACTATTTAGTTGTATTTTTAAAAAATGCGTTATTTCTAATTTGGGCTGGCATTGACCTGTCGAGTGACTGTCGTTGAGCTCACGATTTGACAGCTCGCAAGCTAACTTAGCAGAAGCTTGGTTAGACACCAGTCTGGCGTTAGCTGGTGCATGTAGCATGTTAGCTTCCAGCCGTAACGCTAAGGCGGATTTAGAGTGTGGCTTGAAAGAATATAATGTATGTGTGTGCCTTACCCTTCACTCTGAAATGATCTGTGTGTCCTGCTAATTGTCCGGGGTTTGGTTGTAGACCGTCTCACGCCATTACTTTATTGATACTGAAGTGTGGGAGGTAGCTAAGCAACTCTTAGCTTAAATAGCTATGTTACGTTTTAGGAAATAGTCGGACCTTTCCTCCTCAAGTTAGTTAGCCTAAATGCTAGCGGTAGCCAAATTAGCTAACACAAATCTGCCGACACTGAACTGCTGGTTGACTTTTTGACAGAATAAGAAACTCTCTTCAAATTAAAGTTTAGCGCTTTTTGCTTCAAGTTTTTTCTCTAATGGTATAATTTTGTTTAAAAGTTTACAATGATGAAGTTCTTTTGAGTTGACACTTTGCCATCGTTACTTTTCAACGTCGATTTGAAGCATACAGACAAGCTAATGTTACCTAAGCTAACTTGCACCCTCACTCACACACGTTGCAGGCTCGATTCAATAGCGTTTCTAGCCATGACATTAATATATTAGACTTTGTTAATCGTGTGTGTCCGTCATTTGCGTTGTCTTCATCAGGACTGTGAATCACATTTTCATTTAACAGTCGCTGTTAATGGTGATATTAGGCGACCACTAAACATTTGCTTTCTTCGAGCAGCCGTGTAGGTGAAGTAACGTTAATACAAAATGTTTGTTTGTCATCGCTGCAGATATGCAATATGGTGGCTGTATTGGAAGTAATTACCGGTCTTGAAAAGTATCCTATCACCAAAGAAGCACTTGAGGTAAGACAATTGATTATATGTGAACTACTACTTCACGTTGAATTATATTGCTGTATGTGTTTCTAACTCTCAATCATTTTTTTTTATGTAGGAAACTCGACTTGGAAAATTGATCAATGATGTAAGGAAGAAGACCAAGAACGAAGATCTTGCTAAGCGTGCTAAGAAACTCTTGCGGGCATGGCAAAAGCTGATTGAACCTGGGCCAGCTGTGGCTGCCAGCGCCCCTGGCTCTACCAATGGCAGTTCTCATCCCTGCAGAACAGATGCCTCTCCTCCTGACATTTCTGTGTCCGGGAAGGGTGTCCCTGAAGTCAAAATCAGAAACGATGTTCACAACACATACTCGCCAAAAGCGGAGAAAACCAGCAGCCGCAAACGACGAGCAGAGCACAGGGACAGTGGAGTGCACTTACCGGAAAAAATCTCCAAGATGTCTTCGTTTGACGTCTCGGTTTCCCCACCGCCCACCAATGGGATTGCAGGCAGTCCTGATGCCCTGCCCGACCAGCAAGTCGTCTCGTCTCCTGACCGATCTCGGATAGAGCACCTTGATAATGATAAAATCAACAGAATTCCGGTTAATGCTGTCAAGCCTCGTCCTAGCTCCCCCGGAGTGGCCAAACTACCTAGCACTTCCTCTATGATTAAGGTCGCTGTGATGCAGCAACAGACCAGACTGGAGGAAGGAGGTGGAGGGGGGTATTATCAAGCCAAAAGTCCCCGTGGCCTCACTTCCAGTCCAAGGAGCATGAAGCAAGAAACGGTGAACAAGCGCTCTTCAGCATATGCACCAAAAGGAACACCTATCCCAAGCCCTTCCTCTACGGACTCTCCCTTGTCTTTGTCCCAGCCCGTATCCTCCCCAGCCCAAGCATCATCCGCTGACAAGCTGCCAAACTCTTCTCATAGGTCTTCAATGCACTGGACCAGTTCGTCAGAAGTCCCCACTCATTGTCCACCACAAGATACATCTTCAACACTGGAATCCCCATCGGTCTCCCCTTCGCCGTCTCATCCGCAACACAACTCAGAACTACACAGACCAACATCTGAGGGGACCGTGCCCGTGTCTGATAACAAAGACGGGACAACGATTCCCAACTCTGAGCATAAAAGAAGGAAGTACAGGTCAAGAGACTACTCTGTCAACCTAGATGGCCAGAAAATAGAGGACACGACTAAACCTGTACGATTAAAAGAACGCAGGTTAACATTTGATCCTGTCACAGGTCAGATCAAACCTATGGTACATAGAGAGCCTTCTCAAACAGAGGAAGCCTCCACTCCTGACCTTGCTGAGTCCAGGCAGAGAACTGAAAGCACTGTACAACGGCCCGCTGCTCCGACCCCGGTCCCGGCCCCGGTTCTAGCCCCGGTCCCAACCTCGGCCCCAGGTCCCAGCCCCAATCCTTTCCATCAAACAAACTGGAAGGAACTGTCCAGAAATGAAATCATCCAGTCCTACTTGAACCTTCAGAGTAACGTGCTCAACTCCTCTGGGGTCCAGGCCCCGAGTGCACACTTTTTCATGTCAGAGTATCTGAAAAGGGAAGAACAGGAGATCAAGGACTCACGGAAGATACACGTTCTGCAGACGGACAGCTCAGTAGGGGATTTACCGGGTTTGAGTCGGGAGGTGACGGACGGGGACCTGGACCGGGTTCACACGCAGCGCTGGCCAGGGGTGAATGGTTGTAATGACACCGAGGGCACCTGGTATGATTGGACAGAGTGCATATCATTGGACCCGCACGGGGATGGAAGCAAATTGAACATCCTGCCATATATTTGCCTAGACTGAGGGGTTTTGGGAAGGTTGCTGTCTTTCTCCACTCCTTTCTTTTGTCTCCCCCAAAGAGATGAGATACTTTGTGATTTTGTTTGTCCACTGAGTTTGGCGGAAGCCATACCTGCTAAACTCCCCCCACCCCCCATGCCTCCTCCTCCTCCTCTTTCTGTGATAATCTAATTACATTTTGATTTAAAAAAAAGTCAAGATTAAAAGAATAGTTAAGTTTGTAATACCAAGGGCTGTATCTGTTTTATTTTTCAAACTGAAAGCCACAGGAATGACGAGGCCCTAGTTGCAGTGTGCTGATCCTAACACTGAAGGCGAGAGAGAGGACAGAATCATCCCAGACAACCGGAAATGGTGTTATGATGTGAATGTTTGATGTTCTGAATCGTACCGCTATTTCAGTCTCACTGGGATGATACCTGTTGTCTTTTTTTCTGTTTTGTTTTTGTTTTTTTAAACCTGTCTAGTTTACAATCCAGGGTTGCATTTGAGGAAAGGCCGGGGTTTAGCTGTCCTGTCCAGACCACCATGTTGGTGCCCAGTACGGTGTTGGTAGAGTTCATCTAGCGCAGGTAGAGCCAAACATGTCCAGAGTATGAAATACTGGATCATATTGGGCAGTTCCAAGAAGCTTTATGTGAGATAAAAAGAGTAAATTATAAATTTCATATCATGTATACATCTATTTATTTTGACCGGTTCATTTATGGGACGTTCATTCAAACGTACCAGTAGATCTGTTATTCGTTTTTTTTTCCTGTTGCTGTCACAATGCTGTCAGTCTCATCTTCGATGTTAAAGGGGCAAACACATGTTTTTGCATTTGGTCATTAACATTCCATACTCCACCCTCTTTCTCTCTCTCTCTCTCTCTCTCCGTCTCTCACACAGCTCCTGTATGCCCGTCTCAGCTCTCAATAAGAAATGTATTCAGAAAAATGGTTTAATCAAAATAATGCGGTGTTTATTTAATATTAATTAATCAAAAAAATCTACACAAATTCTCCCCAAAGCTTAAGATATTAAATAATGTCAAATAATTGATGAATAATTACATTTAGGGACTAAATCAATGAGATATTTGAATACTGGGACTCGCGTTGTTTCCTTTCCTTTAGATATCGTTTGCCTTCTGGATTTCCATCATAATATTTCTGTGAGTTGAACGGCCTTAGTGAATGTACGGGATCGACACCTCTTATGCACTTGTTCATAAGTTGACAACTTGTTGGTCATCTCGTCACTGACTGAATTCAAATGTAGTGACTGATGCTCCCACAGTTTACTCGGAGTTGAAGACGCATTCAAAGTTTTTGCAGCTGTTGTCGAGAGTTTAGAAAACATTTAAGGTACGGTCTGAGGAGCATTTCTTTTTGCTTCCTTTTTCCAGTTCAGCAAACATAAAATAAAATGGGGAGAGAAAGCCGTGTGCGTCGGATATTTTTGGCATTTTCCGTGTACCAACTAATACTTACTTTTGATTTCGCTTTATACTCATCAGTCACTACCAGATTTTTTTCTCACATGACTTAGATTAAGATTGGCTTCTGCGCAGCCTCTGTCTTTTCATTCTTTCAGTCATTCATCCCTACCAATGTGCCTTGGTAAAATGGTAAATCTGGATTTGCTTCCGCATAAATCACGCCTGTCCGTGGAGTTTTGTGAGTTGCGAGAATTTCAAAGTCCCGGATCAGTATGCCGCTGGTATATGCACCGTTTCTGTTACTTTTTGTACACACTGATCCAGAGAGGGTGAAGCTGCAGACAATGAGAAACTGCACAACAACGCAGCTGGCAATAAAGGAAAAGTGCTACAACTGGTTGATGAGAATCTGTTTTCTGGAGTTTTGACTGGGGCATCTTTCTTTGTTCAGTGTTTAACATCTCTCCATTGTTTGAAAATAAAATGATCTAAATCTTCAGCCCAGTCGACTGACTCGTGGGTCTTTTACGGCGCCATTGTGTTCAACAACCGTAGAACATGTTGCCCCATTGAAACTAAATGGTCACTCTGAGCTCTGTGTACTTCTGCTTTTTGTTTTGAACTCGGCTGTCGGAAGTTGCATTGTGGTGTAATTGCACAGTTCATCCATGTGGGGGTGCGAAAGGTCCGTTTGTCTCCTTTGTCTGCATCAGAGGGGGGCCGTATGAGTAACTTCAGTTCAGTGGGAATTTATTCATCAGACTTCTGGTTTTTCAAGGCCCACAAAGATTATATGGCCCTCTATTTTTAAATAAAAGAATCATACTAAATACTTAGTTTGTCCTCCCATCGGTGGCATCCTGGGCTGGTCAACACCTGCAGTAAAGAAATGAGTCTCTATATGTTTGATAAACTACGTCACTCAATGCCGTGATTGAGTGATCTGATGTAATCTCATCACAGGTATCAGGATGAGTAACCCCCCCACCCCTCTCTGGTGTGTTTACGCTCGTACTCTGAATCAGTCCTCTGCACACCTGTATGATGTGATCACCTGCCACATGTATCCTCAGAATCACAGCTGTAGTGAGACGTCATTACTAGTTGATGCGTCTTGTCTTGAAGCTGATGAGTAGTACAGGCTACACTGCCTCAGGATGAAGTTGCGCAATTCCAAGAAATCAAAATGATGTCATGATTGATTGATGTTTTGGCTTATTTTCATTATGTATTAATGGGCTGAGGATTTTCTCGCTAACTAAATTTCAATACGATTTCGAGGAATAGCTCTATATGATGTTTTCAACTTGCTTTTCAATACAAAAACCCAAAGATGATAAATTCACTATAGTATATGACAAAGAAAAACACCAAAATCTCAAGTTTAAGAAGCTCCAAACATTTTTTTTGCTTGAAAAGGAGCTGACAAGATTGTTTATTTAAAAAAAAATATTGCTGATTCATTTTCTATCAACTAACTAATCATTTCCGCTTTAGTAACTTATATACAGCACACTACTGTCGGCAGATTGATCACAACAATGGTTTTCATTCTGTAGATCAGCGCTTTGTAGACGATGCAATACATGTATGTGTGCTTTGATGTATATGTACGACACACTTTCAGTGGTTCATTTTCAGCATGCAACCTCTCAATCAGTAGCTCCCCAACCTCACAGCTGCTTTTAATCATGATGACACCCAACACTAATTAGTTCAGGTGTCAGAAAACTAAATGCTCTATGAAGCAGAGCAGCTGCATCTTTGGTCAATGTCATTTTCCTGACTGGCCAGTAGTCTAAATCTTTACCAGTAGCCCTATTGTCCATAACTAGATTATGGCTGGTCTGGAAAAACAACTTGGTATGTGTCTCCTTTTAGAAAGAAATATGTTTATGGAACTCTTTCTGTCTTTAATTAAGTGATTTGTATTATCTTTTCTCCCGGTTACACTGTAATAGACCTCATAATAACAGTTTAACAATGCTGACTGTTGTAAATCAGACATTATTCTAGAGCAGATTTAGAGAGTCCTGGCGTGTGGAGGGAAACTATCTGTAATCTAAAACCACATAGCGCCGACATTACGTCACCCCAGTAGCTCATAAACTTTAACTTTTCGACAGTGACTCAAAAAGTGCGACAATCTGTCTAGTCCGCTGCACGTCTGGTATGCAGGGAGGGGTCCAGTGGAGCACTCCCACCAGTCAGGAATTTGGGGAAGTTTCCTTCCATATAAGGAGTTTTTGATGTCAATCTCGATCTAAGGAAGAGGAGGAGGAAAGGTGGAGTCTAGGATCGATTAACGAAACAGTACGCGCAAAGAGTTTAGAGAGGCAAGAGGAGTCCTGTCAGTGTACTTCCGTGATTGGTGAAAGTAAAATGTACAAGTTTATACTGTGAATTAATGTGGAGTTGTTCTTAAGTTGTGGTTGCTGGCACATCCTGTTTCATCTTCATTATACGTCCTTTGTCTGCATGACATGGTCACTGTCATTACACACTACTTTCCACGAGGCAGCTGGTGTGTGATGTACTTGAATTTATTTGTTTTTATTTGTAATTTTGCACTCGTATAAATGATTTTCATTTCCCCACACGAAGGTCCAACTACTGTTGTAAAGCCTTAACTATCAACATTGATAAAGGAATATAAAATATAAATGGGAGAAATTAACCCTTTTTCTTATTTATAATTTTTTTGGACAAAAAATAGTCCAATGTAAATATATTGTGTCTAAAAAGTTTTGAAGTGTTGACGATTAGTTTCTCCAGGTTGGTAAAAACCCAAATTGACACAGGACAAAATTAATACACTAAAATATAATAAGCAATTTAAGTTATTACACATTTTCAACAGCCACGTAGAGTAAAGTAATCCTATTCCAATGGGACTAAGACTTATGTTGCTATTAATGCTAGAATATGATGGCATGTTAATAATGAAGGACACTGAGAGGTTCCGCCCACTCATAAGTATGCATTTCTCCGTTTTCGCGCGCTGGTAGTCCTCTAACGAACTACCAGAAGGGAACTATCTTGACTGTTGAATCGACGCTCTTTGATAGAAACCGTGGGATCGCTCTAATTGGCGGCCGTCAAAAAGAAAGGAAGTATTTAGTTCACTTCGAGGTTTCATTGGCAGAGAAAGTTGAAGATCATTCAGTGCAGTGTTTATCCTCAAGTAGCTGTCCATCTTTGTACTTGCATAGAAAACTCACAACTCTTTGACAATGTCTTTTAACAAAGGCCCTTCCTTCGGATTATCAGCGGAAATCAAAAACAAGGTAAATATTTTTCTTTTATCAGAATACAAAAAGTTATTTGCTCTGAACTTTTCTTCCCATCATCATCTCATTGTGCTCTTTTCTTCACCTGGCCTCCATTTTGATCTGCGTGCCACTGTCAGGTATTTAGACGTTGGTTAGTTTGGGGGAAAAAACCTGTCAGGAGAGATTTAAAAGTTTATTTTTTTTACAGGATAAACTGACTTTTTAACTTTAACAAAAACTTAAGTTCAGTGAGAACACTTTTGCAAAGTGTATATTCACCCTGAGTTTACGTCTTAAACTAGAATATATATATATTTTTTAATTTTATTTATTTATTTATTTTTTGCCCTTGCACGAGACATAGTTAAAAACTGGGCGTTGTCCCTCTTGGCAAAGAAGAATGTCGTTGTGGCAAAAATTTTACCCCCGTTTCCAGAGTGTTCTATTGCATTACAGTCATTTAGCAGACGCTTTATCCAAAGCGACTTACAATTCAGATTCCGTATTATTTCTACACCGTAGGCACAGCTACGGGAGAAATTTTGGGGTTAAGTGTCTTCCTCAAGGACACATCGACATGCGACTAGCAGAGCCGGAGCCGGGGATCGAACCGCCGACCCTCTGATTGAAGGACGGCCCATTGCGCTTGCAGCTCGTTGCTACCCGGGTTAGTGAGTTAGTCCCGGGTCCGTTAGTCGTCCATCCTGATAATCCACCTTCCATCTGTCTTTTTTTAGTGATTTTTATCTGCATGAATAGTTTCCTACTCCCCTCCTTGTGGTAAGGTGTCTCGCTGCTTCTCTTGATAAAACGTTTCTTTGCTCCAATCACGTCACGTCAGTGCAGGAGGTTTGCTTTTTTCCTTTGGTAATACGTCCTTGTGTTGACAATGGACACAAACCAAACGGCCTCCAACATGACCCCACTCTGTGGTAATGTGTAACTTTCTGTGAGTGCGGCCTTGTTTGTTTTGACCTGCCTGTGCGCCACTTAACATACCAGGACTGATGCAGGAGATTACTGTCCTCACCACGTTGTGTATCACACTGAGCTGCTGTATAACCAGGGGGACTTTCCCTTTAAACATGTGCTGTTACCTCTTAATAATACGTTCATTCATTTTCAGTAATGCACAAGGAGACTGACTGTTATCTGAGACTCATTTTATTGCCCATAAAGGTTTTTCTGGCTCTGCTTTGCTCTGTGTCAGTGTTTCTTTCACTCTCCTTCAGCTGAATGTTGTTTTAAATATGAATCTGCATTCCTAGGCTGTGCTCTTGCTTGTAACTTTCCTCTCTGTTACCAGTGACGTCCTTGACAAGGAGAGGAGGAGGAGGAGGAGGAGGGGGGTGGTTGATGATTTAAGTGGTATTTCCTGTCATCAGGGATGTAGTCTCCTCCATAAAATGTGAGGCAAACACCTCTTAGCCACCCCTTTAACTTTTGCTTTAAACTAATGTAGAAAATCAGAAGTGTAAACTCAAAGTTGACCATTTGTAATAAGCAACGGTCTGTATTCATTCATTGGATCAACGCTTCATTCAGCTCCCGTCCAACAACTGTGGGCTAAATTCCTTGTGTTCAGCTTGACTCTTTGTGGGTAATTAAAAGTATTTTTTCATGGGATAATAACCGAATGAAGGAAAATGTAATTAGACAGACATTCTTTAAGAGTACAACCAGCTGTGAGGAGAGTGCGGCAGGCTTCTATGTACATGGGGGGGTAAACTCTGTGGTTCAGCTTCTCGGTGCCCTCGGGACAGAGGGAGATTGTTTGCACGGAGCTCAATCAACACCTTATTATCTTTTTTTTTTTTCTGCTTTCCAGTTTGTCACACATTGCTCCTAACTGTTCTACGTGACTATAAAGGTCTCCCTGAATGGCTTCTGTCAGAGCTTGCGTAGCATGTTTCTCACACTTCTATCATTAAAAAAAACATACCACCTCAACAGTGATTCCCTTCACAAGAAAATCAATCTTTGTGCCGCCATAAGCCCCTTAAAACTCTCCCCTCCCTCCCACTTTCAGCCCCGGCCTTCCTGTGTTTCAGTGGTGAATTTAGCAGCTTACCAAACAGGATATCCATGTGTGTGTGGTTTGGGTCGCGTCAATGTCTCCTTTCTTTATAAGGGCTGAAAAAGACAAAAACCCTCTGTAGACGCTGCACTGAGGCAAAGTGAAATGCACGGGTGACCATGAACCTGATCACATGCAGTCCTAATAAACTTTAGCGGACATATAATTAACATGTTGTGGATACAGCTCAGTTTTTGGTATCTTAATGAAATCTACTAAATCCTAAAGAGCCTAAAGGTATCTTATGGATGCATTTAACAAATCACCTGCTGGCTCTTATTGCTGCTCATGGAACATATGTGACCTTTGACCTCTGCCCGACCAGATCGCACAGAAGTATGATGCTCAGAAAGAGGAGGAGCTGAGGGTCTGGATCGAAGACCAGACGGGCGCCACCATCGGCCACGACTTCCAGAAAGGCCTGAAGAGTGGAGTCATTTTGTGCACGTAAGCAGAGATCAGATTGTCTGGTACACCGTGATCATCCATCATATTATTATCATCATCATCTCCAGTGTTTGGATGGTAAACTAGAGTATTTCCCTCTTTCTCCTCACAGCCTTATCAACAAGCTGGCCCCAGGCTCTGTGAAAAAGATCAACCAATCAGCGCTGAACTGGCACCAGGTGAGTTGGTGGATGACACATGCTTTTTAACCAGGTGAGGGAGCGGCTGAATGCATCTTTTTGATTGCAGCGACGCATTGACACTAGAGATTATGTTCCATGCAGTTAGAGACTTGTTTTTGGACTTTAACAAATGGCTCCCTGTGCTGCCGTATTGTGTCAGGATGTCTGTGCGCTGAATCCTGCTCGGTCATGATGATGCTTGCGTGTTGAAAGTACAGCCACTGCTTCTGAAACTCTCTTTCACAGCTACAGGACTGCTTCTTGTTAACGATAGAATTTGTAATGGGATGTAATCACACCTCCGTCATTCTAAAATCCTGCACACGCATTGTTATTGATCATGTTTTTAAATTGGTGTGGGTTTTTAGCTGGAGAACCTGACGAACTTCATCAAATCCACCACAAATTTTGGCCTGAAGCCTCACGATCTCTTCGAGGCCAATGACCTGTTTGAGAACGGCAACATGACGCAGGTGCAGACAACGCTGCTCGCACTCGCTAGCATGGTGAGTCCTCTGACAGTAGTGGTGGGAGTGACCTCTTCCTTTCATCTGTCATGGAAAGCTGAATTATTATTATTATTATTATTATTATTATTACTATTATTACTGTTATTACTACAACCATCTACACGTTGCTTCTTTCAGGCAAAGACCCGGGGCTGCCAGTCACGAGTGGACATCGGGGTGAAGTACGCTGACAAGCAGGAGAGGCTGTTTGACGAAGAGAAGATGAAGGCTGGGCAGTGCGTCATCGGCCTACAGGTGTGTTTTTTTTTTTTTGTTTGTTTTTTTTGGAGATTCCTGGGTGAGCATGAGAGTTTAAAATGAGTTGGCAGCAGTTCAGTTTTAGATCTGAAACTCTCGAACCTATCGCAGTCCTTCATTTAAACCACTTCTCATTTATTTGCAATGTCAAACAGACACACAGCTTTTATTTACAGTCGGTGGTCACATGACACACACTAATGTTGGTGCAGGTCTGACATTTATACTCGAGGAGGCCACCGTTCACTTACAGGTTGTCGATAAATGAAAAACGTATTTGACATGACTGAAATGTTAGTTACAGCTTATTCATTTGATATTTTGGCTGAATCTGACAGAGGTGAGGCTCTTCAGCTGCTTGGAAAGCCGAGCTCACTGCTGAATGTGTCGAAACTATTCGCAACCCGTCATGATCTCCTGGCATACTTCAGACTAAATGCTGCTCTTTGTTCCAACTCTGTTTTATTATTGTCTGTCGCTAAGATGTATCTCAGATAGACATGACGGTGAGGAAACTTGCAATACAACATTTGAGTATGATGAAGTCATGGCTGACAGCTGACTGACACTTTGTTCACTCACGTTGTTGTTATTATGCAAAATTTTACCAGTTTGTTGTTGTGCAAGAGGATCGAAGCAAAACTCTTGTTATCAAGCCTTTACGACCATTTATTGTGGTGCTTCTGTCTTTAGATGGGGACCAACAAGTGCGCCAGTCAGGCGGGTATGAACGCATACGGCACCAGGAGGCACTTGTATGACCCCAAAGTTCAAATCCAGCCCCCCATGGACAACACCACCATCAGCCTGCAGATGGGAACCAACAAGGGGGCGAGCCAGGTACTGCAACATGTTCCCAGCTCCTCGTGAGATCACAACTATAGGAAATGCACCTCAGGGCATCACCGTACTTCTACTACTATAAACTAGTGCCATGTTTAGTCTTGTAGAAAACTCCTGGATTGTCTTAATACTGTTTATAGCTGTTTTTTTAAGGCTTGTGATCCTTATTGTCTTGGTCCACAGGCTGGGATGACGGCTCCAGGGACAAGACGTGCCATCTACGACCAGAAGCTGGGCACAGACAAGTGTGACAACAGCACCATGTCTCTACAGATGGGCTACAGCCAGGGAGCCAACCAGAGCGGCCAGAACTTTGGCCTGGGTCGGCAGATCTATGACGCCAAGTACTGTCCCAAAGCCGGAGAGGTTGCAGAGGATCAGAACGGGGCCGCCGTCGCCCGTGACTATGTCCCGGAGTTGCAAGACGAGGGTTACCAAGGTTACCACGAAGAAGAGCAGGTGTACCAAGAAGATGGGACGGACTACTAGAAGGAAGGAGCTGAGGAAGGGAAAGATGTCCGTCTAAAGGAGGCATGTTCTGCAGAAAGGAACCCTCAAGGCTCACAGGATATTGCACTGGTTCTTTTGGTCATATCCTTTTTATTAGTATGAAATTGTTTTCTTGCCCCTGAAACCATGTAACGCATATCATGATGAACTGTGTTTTTGTATTTAAAGTGACCACAAAAGCCAATATTTTTGGCTTAGCTAGTTTTCTATCCCAGGGATTGTTAATATTGTGCCAAAGCCAACTGTTCTCTTTTTCCCTGTTTGTTTTATTTGTGCTGACTCATTGGTTACATTAAGGGAGATTCCTAGCTTTTTGTAAGAGCAACAGAAACTAAAAGTGACACATTGGGGAGTTTTTAAAGTGTTTTTTTTGAGAACGTGCATCCTGTTTTGATCAAAACACTCATGCTTCTGTTTTATCTGTATGAAGATAATTCCTGTGAACGTGTTTGTTACTTCAGTATCTTCTTCATCCCCTCAGTATTCATCGACGAACAGTAGTGAGCACTTTTGGTTGTTCAGACAGATGTGGGAACAATATATATACATTTTGTCTTTACTAGTTTTGTCTTTTCTCTCACTCATTTCTTTTTTAACAGAGGAAATACTTCCTTTGTTTGCATAACCAGTCCAACTGAAGCTGTTTTCTTTGGACTAAAGAAGGTGGGGGAGGGGATACAATAACAAGTGAAGTTTTGAACATTCCAAGCAAGAATACTGGATTCTTTTTGTCAGTGAATAAGTCTTAGATATTGGTTGATATGCAAACCAATCACACACTTATATGTGATCATTTTAGATGATTATTTATGCATATTTTGGGATTTGAATGGGGGTTGTTTTTAGTTGTTTTTTTACCTTGACTCTGAATAACCTTTGGTTTTGGACTATTGTTTTTCTTCTGGAATAATCCAGCCAGTGGAAAAATAAATGTTTGAATTGAGAATTGGTTGTTTTTGTGAATACGGTGTAATAAAGTTGTGTAGTCATTATCATGTGTTGATTTGGTTTGTAGTAATACTGATGTCATGAAAACATGTATTCACTCAACGTAAGTTAGTCGTCGTTTAGCACTCTGCTAAAAAAAGTAATGCACCAACATCAGTTTGTACATAAAAATATATAACGGTGACTTGATGAGATGAGAAACGAGTTGACCAGAGATAACAGGAAGGGTTAAGAAACTCTTCCTCTTAGTGCAGTCCAGAACTTGCAGCACTTCATTACTGCGCACTAATAATTCAAAACGGACAAGTTATGTTTCTAAAGCGTTGGTTTAAACGGGGGGGGGGGGAAACTCCGAGGTATGTAGCCTTACACACCGTTTTGGTTGTAAGTGTCCAGGTTTTGAGATATGTGTCTGATATTATTATAATTGAGTAATCATCTATCTTGTGCCCAATATATTAAGGGGAGGCAGGTAGGATATCTCCAAACCTCGTTAATACCACCAAAGCTCTTTGAATGGCTCGATACCACAGAAGAAGTTCCTATAGGACCAAACGGGACAAGATGTTCAGCTTCACTAATTTAGCTCAAGGTGAAGTTGCAGGAATGAATCCTTTAAAGCAAAACTAATAAAAGGAAGGCTAAAACAAAGTACAAAATCAGTACCAGTGCATGGAGCCTTTTTTTTCAAGTCAAAAATGATTCTGCACTGTAAGTACTGATACAGGCATTGGATAAATGTGTTATAAGTACAATGTTTATCTGAAATGTGGTGGTCTCTCTTAAAATGGGAATACTTAAGTAAGGTCCCAGTACTTCAATAAATGCATATTAATTAGTCACAGTGGTGGAAGAAGTATTTACATACTTTAAGGACAAGTAACCACAATTTAAAAATACTCAATTACAAGCAGTCAAAGTTTGACTTAAGTAAAAGTAAAGACGGATAATCAGCTAAATGTACTTAATTATGAAAAATAAATATATTGGAGAGATCTTTGAGTGAGTCTGGGGGGAAAAGTCTCTTTAGTGCGGATGCTAAGGGGGTAAGTGTAGGCGTTATCCACCAGTTAACAATGTAGTGGAGTAGAAGTATAAAGTGGAAGTATCAAATGGAAATACTAAAGTAAAGTGCATCCAAATTGTACACAAGTATAGTACTTGAATGTACTTTCCACCGTTCTTCCCTTCTTGAGTTATTAAGCTGCATGTCTGCATTTTGTCCTGTTTAGTTTTAGTTTTCCTTCCTCTTGATATGTAGAAATAACGCTGTGCAGCTACAGTACTCAACAAGATAATAAAAAAGTGGACACGTTGGTAAGAAACTTGAAACTGTAATTAAAAACTGGCGTTTTTGCACAACAGCACCACCTGCTGTTCACAGTGCAAACTACCGCCGGAAAACACCACCGGATGTTTGCCTGAAATCGCGCGATATTAGGCCTAACGAGACTTCTGCCCGTTCTTTTCTCCCGGAACTTCAGGCAAGATGGTAGGTGTATAACTGTTTGAGAAGCTTTCCCAAATACCATCTGAATGCATCTGAACTGTAAAGTAACTAATGAGGATGGCTGGCTATGTCATCCGACAGCTTCACGCGTTCGCTGGCCATTCAGTCTTAAATCGTTGCTCAGAGTGACAGATAAATGTGTGCTTAAAGGCGTTGTATTAGCTATAGCCGTCTGTGGCTAAGCTAACCCGGTGGTTCTGTTCCCGTCACTAAATATTACATAATTATCATGTCATTGTAGGTTCGAGTGAGGGTTAATACGCGCTTTCGTCCATGTTAATCAGTGGCAATGAATTCAGGTTATGTTCACGCGAGCTGTATACTTAAGTGGGATGTTTGTCTTTTTCAGGCAGATACCGAGATCAAGAAGAAGCGTACCTTCAGGAAGTTCACCTACAGAGGTGTGGACCTGGACCAGCTTCTGGACATGTCCTAGTAAGTGATGCACTACTGAGCTGGAGTAGTTGATGCTTCATGGTAGTAAGTTGGAGCCAGTATAGAACCTTTTTCCAAACTCCGTGTGTGTGTGTGTGAGAGAGAGAGAGAAAACTCACTTTGCTTATCAGTGTAAATCTTCGCTTTCCTCCCATTGATAAAGTCCCACGATCAGCCCCTAAGAGGTTGTTATTGTTGTTGCTCAAGTTTGAGTATTGAGAGCTTTTCAGTTCATCACGTTAAGATCAGAGTTAAATAAAGGTGTATAATCATTGTGTGCCGGAGCTGAGTAGACCACACATTCCTTAATCATCAACCTGATGCACACACTTCAATTGAAGTGACTGTGAGATGACCAAACCCACTGTTGTGCATATTATAAAGTACTTGACACTTATTTCAAAGATGACCAGGGGCGTCATTGACACGGCGCTGTCCTCTCTCCCTGTGTAGTGAGCAGCTGATGCAGCTGTACTGTGCCCGCCAGAGGAGGAGGCTGAACCGTGGCCTGCGCCGCAAGCAGCAATCCCTCCTGAAGCGCCTGCGCAAGGCAAAGAAAGAGGCTCCCCCCATGGAGAAACCAGAGGTGGTGAAGACCCACCTGAGGGACATGGTCATCCTGCCTGAGATGGTCGGGTCCATGGTCGGAGTGTACAACGGCAAGACTTTCAACCAGGTTGAAATCAAGGTGAGGTGGTGTTGGTCCGGTGGTGGGGAGAGACATTTGTACTCTTTGAAACCCCAGATTTCTTGGGCCTCCTATCATTACTCGGAGCACATTCCTGGGAAGCAATATCACTTGCAGTTCCAACAAAATGTAATATTGTTGGAGAATGTAGAACATAATTGGTATACATTTAAGAAGGTAGAAGGCTTTATATGGTTGTGGTATATTGCATTTGTGTGTACAGAGCCGGCTGTCACAACTCAAAGCACCAATGCGTACGGTTGGTCTCATTTAGAAGTTATAGTTCCTTGTTGGTGATGTTCTGTCCCCGTCTACCAAACTATCTACCATTAGTTAATGTCAGTGTAAGAATGCTTTAGGTCAACAATCGGGACCAATTGACAGGCCAGGCAATATCAAACAATGGCTCCATTATTAATACAGAACCAGAACCATTGACGCGTTGCTGCAAATAACGCATGTCATACAGGGCTTATATGATGATTTTTGCGGGGTGAGTTTTTCCCTTTTTCGATGTCAAAGGACAGGATGTCGTATGCTTCACAGATTGTAAAGCCCTCTGAGACAGATTTGTGGTATTGGGATATATAAATAAAATTTAATTAAACTGTTATTGATGCACAACTCAAGTTGATAGAACTCTGAAGGATAATTTTGGGCAATGGGCATGCCTCTGTAAGACTGTTTTGCAAAAATGTCAGTTAAACCATCTTGAGTTGATCCACAAAGAACTCTAGAGTACAAGAGTCTAACATCTTGACCAAAGAATTGCAGTGTTAAGTTTGTAAAATGTAGACCTAGAATAATGTGTTTAGATAAATTCGTTATAAAGGCCGGATGTTACAGAATAATAGTGATGATAAATAATTGGTTTAAGACCAGACAATCTAGTGTTGACAACTGAAGCTTCTTCTAGAGCTTCTAAACTGACGCCTAGCTCCTCCAGTCAAATGCACTAAGCAAAGCAATCATTTTTTTTAAAGTATACTTTGCTTTAAATCTTGTCAGACCTCAGATTATGATCAGTAACTACCACATTACTGTACATGCAGCTGTGACTACACCAAAGACGTGTATCTTGTTACTAACATGTTCCTCTTCTCCGCAGCCTGAGATGTGCGGTCACTACCTGGGCGAGTTCTCCATTACTTACAAGCCAGTCAAGCACGGTCGCCCTGGTATTGGAGCCACACACTCTTCTCGGTTCATCCCACTGAAGTAAAATGGCTGTGTTCTTTGTATGAATAAAAAACCGGTTGCTCCACAGAACTTGTCTGCTTTGCTTTCTTTAGCATAATATTTCAAAATGAAGATCAAATGCTTGTGTATGGGGTGTAATGTTAGAGTTTGAGCTTCTGTCCTCTTGAGGTGTCTTGATAAACAATACGAGTGGCTTCAAGATAGCTCATGAATACACAGAATGGGTTTGTAATGTTGTGATTGGTACTACGAGACCTGAATATTTCAGTAAACATGATTGTTTCAACTCACCATAGGACATCGAGTGATTTCAGAAAATCTGAAATTCAAATATTAAAACAAAAGTGATACAGAGTCAGACCAGTGGATTAAACACATTGGTTTATTGGAAAACTACTCATTAGTCTGTAATGGCTGGTATGGTACCTTATCTGTCATGTTTTAACCTTTTTATGTTTTTTTTGGTTGTCTCAACGGTTAATCTGAGTGGAGCATTAATGTCACACAAGCTTATACACCGTCAAAAGTAGTACGTAGGAAATGTTGAAATACATTTTCTAAACAGTCAATTTGGGTAATAAAACAGTGCTGCCACATGCAGCGCAGCACTGACCATCACTGACGCCTCCTCAGAGCGGCTGTGCGGCTCTGAAAGAGTACCGGTGTGAACTCTATCAGGTCTAAGGTTCCTCCCCTCTCGCTCAGCTACATGTTGTGTGTGGCCACTCTGGGCCATGGATTCAACCTCTAGCAGTTGCACAATCTTTTTATTGTCACCAAGCTAATACAATCCAGAACCTGATTAAAGAAACAGTGGCCAGATTGGTAAGTATTCTTCCTAATTTCAGCTTGTTCTGTCGTGACGGGCGACTAAGCGTCTGTTTTTCCAGAAATCCAGCAGCCGCTAGTTAGCGGCTCGCTAGCTTCCAGCTCGGTAGCTAACGGGTAGCTACCGCTAGTTAGCTTCAAGAGCAAAACTGATAGAAGAGGTCTGTCATGTCAAAATGTAGCTAACTTAGATTAGTTTTTTTTAAGTCGTAGTTTGTTAACTGTCATTTCATAACAAGCTGGGGTTTCGACATTCACTGCCAATTATAACCAACGTTCGTACCGTTTAAAATGTGAACACAAATGAATGTACCGGTGTTTTCCCCCGGTCTGAATGAGTAGTTGAAATCTGAGAACAAAGCTCTATTGTAAGCTAGCTAGCCGATCACATTAACGTCTCCGGTATTTTACTATTCCACCCGACCTGTTACACACCTTAAAATAAGATTGCTGTTGACCATTGAGTAACCCCGCAGAGACAAAATGGGGCCTTTTCGTGTAACATTATACCGTTACAAGTTGCAGCGTAATTCTTTCCATTTAACATATTTTACATAGTAACACAGAGGTTAAGTTAACGTTTACTGTACAGGGGATGATTTTAGCAGAACACAATCAGTATTATAGACACTCTACTTCTTATACAGGCACAGAAATAGTCAGATCTGAACATTTTGGTTAATCTCCATCCGTAAATACACTTCCATCATCCCACTCCTTACACAGATACCACTAGTGGGTACCAGGTGACAGTTTAACCTGTGATACTGGTTGTTGTTGGATTGACTCTTCAGCTGGTGACTCAAGATGAGGTATTATGCTGGTTGTATTTGTTGTGAGTTAAGGTGCCTCACCACAGCACCTGACCAATCTGCCACTACTTCTTTAACATGGTGTGCGTCATGCTAATCCTTTCCCCAACACAGAAGGATAAAGGGAGGAATGTGAGGTATTCCCTGTACTTCATCCGTACATATCCATCCAACACATGAGAGATTTAACAGGAATTACAATCCCTTTGTGTCAATCTGGTCTGTAGTTATGGCTGTATGGCTCCATGTTACTGAGTCAATATTCTTAAAAGTCTTCATGAATGATTTATGTTTTTCCTCTTGTCTTTGAGGCACATTGTGTTGTAGTCAAACTGTCCCCCAGTCACGAATGTCTCATCAGTTAAGAAAGGAGAAAGAAATGTGTCTACCTACTGTCATAATAAGTCTGTGCCACTGTTTACTCCATTAGTTTTCTATTTTCAAAGATCTTAGTACTGTACTTTGTTCATAGGTTACGATATTGGAGTGAGGTGTGCTGACCGGTGAATGCATAGAGTCAAGAAGGTAAAACTTTGTGACAATAAAGAGGGTATCTGGAAAAGGTACAGTAAAGGGTTCATGTTATCTCCTTTTAACTGCTTTGATGTTTAGATAGATGTATGAATAAACAATCTTAACCATTAAAGGAATTCATGAGTGCAGAATTCATGAGTGCAGTTGTGGGTTCCTGCACCTCTCACCATAATCTTTCTAATGTCCACATCCAGCTGTGTGACAGTGAGCATGACGGCTGTGGACGGCCTTTCGGACAGCACAGAGGTGGTTGAGATGGAGGATGTGCCGTCTCAGTTCTTTGTGGAGAAACACACGTGGGAGGGCCTCCGTGACATCATCCACTGTAGCAGGAAGTACTCTGGCATGATCGCCAACAAGGCTCCCCACGATTTCCAGTTCGTGCAGAAGAAGGATGAGAACGGACCCCACTCCCACCGCTTGTACTACCTCGGTAAGCTGATTGATGCGTGACGATGGGGCAGAATATGATTGCCTGGTGATATTAAAAACAATCACTGTGTCAAAATTTCTCCTTTTCCACCCTAGCACCAGTTGTTGTTGTTGAAAAGGCCTTTTGTTTCTTTTCCGTGTGCGTACTAGGAATGCCTTATGGAAGCAGAGAGAACTCACTACTCTACTCAGAAATCCCCAAGAAGGTCCGAAAAGAGGCCCTCTTGGTGTTGTCATGGAAGCAGATGCTGGATCACTTTCAGGTGAATTCCCCTTCTTCTCCTCCCGATCGTGCAGGGCCGGTATCAAATAGCACTACTTTGAGATAAGCAGTCGCTGAAGGTGTGGTGAAATCACCGTGGTATAAACTATGAGAGGAATGCTCGCACTGTACAACCATTGTGCGGTTCTATGATCTTGGGGTGATGGGTCAGTTGAATGTGGTTCTGTTTACATCTGCTTACATCTGACTTCCTGTTCTTTAAGGCCACTCCGCACCAGGGGGCCTACTCTCGAGAGGAGGAGTTGCTGAGAGAGCGCAAACGTCTCGGAGCCTTCGGTATCACCTCCTATGACTATCATGCCCAGACCGGCCTGTTCCTCTTTCAGGCCAGCAATAGCCTCTTCTACTGTCAGGACGGAGGCAGCAATGGCTTCATAGTGAGTACACGGCTGTTTCTGTCTTCAATTTGGAATTCTTAGATACTCGGGACAGCTGAGAGCTGTGCATTTTATTCTATTTATAATAATTGTGATTGTAAATGTTGAATCTGTATCACTGCTGGTCTGCTAGTGGTATCATATTCATCATGCAATGCAAACGATGTTATGAGAGGAAAGATGATCAAAATACCATATTACCCTTTTCTATAGGCCAGCCTTCCGGCTGTCTCAGAGATGCCAAATACGCTCGAAAGCAATCTTTTAACCTATAGTGTCTGTATAGCAAATGTTGTGTTATGTTTGTCACAGTCGTCCTCTTCGTCGTCCACTTTAAGCTGCAGGGTTGAACCTGGGATACTGATCAAGATCATGTTTGTGTCTTTAGTAGCTTTGATAAGCTACTTTAAATGAGTGGAGAGTTAAATTATTTAGGGAGATTGAGTAATAATTCTAATCTCAGCACCTCACTGTGGTTAGTGTACCTTTTCATGTCTTCAGTGAAGACCATCCTTGCATCAGACAGGTCTCTCATCTTCCGCTTGCCTTGCACTAAGATTGTGTATGTTGCTTTTAGCAGTCTGCTCCTGTAAAGCCCGTGGAGATCAAGACCCAGTGCTCAGGGACCCGCATGGACCCCAAGATCTGCCCTGGAGACCCTGACTTCTTAGCCTTCATCAACAATAACGACCTGTGGATAGCCCACATTAAGACTGGCGAGGAAAGGAGACTCACTTACTGCCACAAAGGTCTGGAGGCAATAAAATGTCGCGCAATAAGTAGCTTTACATGCTCGAGTATCCTCTTTAAATTACAAAAGAACAACAATTGTTCGATTTCCCCTGTATTTTCATCATCATCTCATACTACTTGCCTTTCTCCAGGTGTGGATAATGTAAAGGAGGACCCCAAGTCTGCAGGTGTAGCAACATTTGTCATCCAAGAAGAGTTTGACCGTTTCACCGGTTACTGGTGGAGTCCCTCGGCAGTGGAAGGTATTTTTTATACCTTTTTTTTTTTTTAAATAGTTTTACCTCCATCTATGAAATTAGTTCATTTTGAGTTTGCATCCACTATTTTCTGTATACACTTCCCCCAAAACAGTTTTTTTATCCCCCTGTCAGACCCTAACGGAGGTAAAACAGTGTACCTGCTGTATGAAGAGGTGGATGAGACGGAGGTAGAGATTATTCATGTTCCATCTCCGGCACTGGAGGAGCGTAAAGCAGACGCATACAGATATCCCCGTACAGGTCAGTGTTGCCTACACTGTGTGCACACAGCAGTTAAATGTAACAAATGAATTTCTATCATTTTACATTTTCCTTACGTCTTTACTTACAGGGAGCAAAAATCCCCAGGCTACCCTCAAACTGGCAGAGATCAAGACAGACCACCAGGGAAGAGTAAGTCTTTCACTGCCTGTCTTTGTCTTTTTTGCTTCTTCGCTTCTTCAAAATCATATCCAGGCTTTCCTAATGTGTGTTCATGGTTGTAATTACAGATTGTGAGCACACAAGACAAAGAACTGGTCGTCCCCTTCACCACCTTGTTTCCTGGGACAGAATACATCGCCAGAGTAGGCTGGACGAGTGACGGCAAATAGTGAGTGCGGTTATTCTCAAAATACATACCACCAGAAGGTATACAGCCTGGTATTGGGACTAATATAGTGACATGAATTGGGAAACATGTGGACACGGATAATAACGGCTGCGACGGTTTGGGTATTTGAACCAAACTCTCTGTTCAAAATGTATCACTGTGCATTGTTGAACTCACGCTGAACCACGTCGCCTAAACTGTGGTATCGACCGCACCTTGACTGGACAAGATGCTTCTGTTTATGATTTCTTCTAATGCGATCTTCTGAGTTCTGTCTGCTCCGTGTCGCTCTAGTGGCTGGGCGGTGCTACTGGACCGCAGTCAGAGAAAACTACAGCTGGTCCTGCTGCCTCCAGCCCTCTTCATCCCGGTCACAGATGACCCAGCTCAGAGGCAGGAGAGTCTGGAGGCCGTGCCCAGTAACACACAGCCGTACATAATCTATGAAGAGACTACAGACGTCTGGATCAATGTAGGTCTTTCCACGTGGTACCCTTAAACTAATGTCTGTGATGTTTTATAATCAACGAATTGTTACGGTTGTGAATGCTTCAAGGATTCAGTAACTGACTGTTCTTCTCTTTTGTGCAGGTTCATGATATATTCTATCCTTTTATTCAAACGGCAGAAGATGAGTTTACTTTCATTTGGGTAAACGAGTCTAAAACGGGTTTCAGCCATCTGTATAAAATCACCTCCCCGTTACAACCGGGCTGCCACCGTTGGACGGAGGACTACCAACACACAGAGGGTGAACAACTAGCACATGCTCCTTCATTTCTTTGACGTTTTCCTATCAAATATTCATGGTTTCACGTCAGTGTTCGGTGTGTCAAGGAGCATGTTGATTCTGTTATCTGTTTTCTTCAGGAGACTTCAAATGTGCAATCAAGGAGGAGGTTACATTGACCAGTGGAGAATGGGAGGTGCTGGCAAGACATGGTTCCAAGGTTAGCTTTATAAATGTATTTAAATGCAGTGAGCTCAACTGCAGAGTTTCTCAAATGTTTTTTTCCTCCCAACATGCTCGGGTTCAACATTAAAACACGAGCGATACAGAACTAAGTTGATATGTCAGTGGCTCCATCATCAGTACTTCTCAGTGTCATGCCTCGGCCTCACTGCTATTGTCTTTTCATTGTCCTTTTAATGTTTCTCCCTTTTGTTAGATTTGGGTGAATGAGGCATCGGAGTTGGTGTACTTCCAGGGCACCAGAGACACTCCTCTGGAGCACCACCTCTATGTGGTCAGCTATGACTCACCTGGAGATGTGGTCAGACTAACCAAGCCTGGCTTCTCTCATAGCTGCTCCGTCAGTCAGGTAAACCACTCATCCAAATACATACCTGCGCATGTCATTAGTCCATTCATTTATTTTCTCATCCAGATGTTCGTTTATCCATATTCATAACAGCCCACAATGTTGTTGAGATATTGCTCTCTTCACAATCTGAAAAAAAAGCTGTCAAAGGCAGGCATAGTTTGGATGATCTGCAGTATAAGGGATGAATGTATTTTACATTGACGGTGGCTCATGTTGGGTTTTAACTCAGATCCTTGTAGCATGTGGTGTTGCATTATAATTCCTCCCTCAGTCTTTCCCTTCCTTTTTTGTCAGCTCTGTTTTGTACATAATTCTTTATTTTAATATATTTTGCAACTCTCTCCCTTCTCTTATTCTGCAGAACTTTGACTTTTTTGTCAGCCACTACAGTAATGTGAGTACGCCTCCATGTGTCCACGTCTACAAACTGACCAGCTCAGAGGGTGACCCACTACACGTGCTACCTGAATTCTGGGCCAGCATGATGGAGTCACCAGGTAAACAGGACGTGACAGAGTTTGTGTTTACATTATTGGGCTCGCTCAGTTTTTCTTAGAGAGCAGTCTGGCCACGTTTGAAGGTTCCCCACGACAGTCTGTGCTTTTATTTTTGGAACAATCAATGGAGTCTGTAGGGGACAGGGGAGGTCTGGCTTTGATTAAATCAAGGACAGTCAGTTCGATCCACAGTCGCGTCCTCCAGACAATCCTGACAGCAATCCGATAATGTGCTGCTTAAATACCTTCAACATCCACAGCAATTGGTGTCGGGGTTGATTGTCGTTTATGATTCATTAATAGTACCAGGAGTGAGACGGTAATCCTTGGCTATTATGTTTACAGGTGTTTCTGCTTTGGTAGACGTTTAGGGGCTTTATGCTGTGTTCACACCACGAGCGACACAGCAACAGGTTGCAAGTCTTTTTCAATGGAAGCCGGTGACATGAAGCTACAAATTGACGCTCGACACATTTCATTGTGTTTCGTTAAAAGCTACATTAATGAGCGCTTGGACAACACTTAAAAGGGCTCAGTGACAATGGAGCTGGCTACTCTTGGCTGTTTTGTTGCTTTTTTCGCTGGTAGTGTGAACATAGCATGATACAGGGGTCCCCCCTAGAGTCACGGCGCATGTTGGTGCTATTAACTCTCAATTAAACACCCTATTTTGGAAGTAGAAGAATGGGAAAGCAGAACAGTTTCAGAATTTAAATGTCAGCTGTAAAGGACAAATAATCCTATACCAACCCCAGTACTGCAAGACATATTGCAGTACTGGTTCCAGAGTATCACTAACTTTCCAAAAGAAAATGTATCACAATCTAATACCAAATCACTTATTTGGTCCATTTACTTTTACTGTGTAAAACAAATACAAGTGTTGTTTTTTTTAATATACAAAAAAATATCCACTGCACTTGTAATTTGCGTGCTTTCGTGTGTGGTTTTGCTGACTCATCCCTTTAAAGTTCCACTAGGAGTTGATCCCTGATAGTTTGAGAACATGCTAACCTAACGAACACGTGTGTTCATGTGTCTTCCAGGTTGCCCGGGAGATTACAATCCACCGGAGATTTTTGACTTTCCAGGGAAGTCGGGCTTCCAGCTTCACGGGATGGTGTACAAGCCTCACAACCTGCAGCCTGGCAGGAAACACCCCACGGTTCTCTTTGTGTACGGAGGCCCACAGGTCTGTGGATACACATTCAGTTTAATCTGGGATTGGGATGTTATCAATATTTAGTGTTCACAAAATGTAGCTTTAAATCTGTATGACAGTGTAGATTAAAACAAACCAACATTTTGTTTACGTATTCAGGTGCAGCTGGTGAACAACTCCTTCAAGGGGATGAAGTACCTCCGTCTGAACACGCTGGCGTCTCTGGGCTACGCTGTGGTCGTCATTGATGGGAGGGGTTCCTGTCAGAGGGGCCTTGAATTTGAAGGAGCTCTGAAAAACAAAATGGTAAAGTATTAAATCCCTTCAGTCGAAGAAATCGATTGTAATTTAACATGATGGAATGCCATAAAACACTCTAATGAACACTTGTCTCTTCAGGGTCAGGTGGAGATCGAAGACCAGGTGGAGGGGCTGCAGTATGTGGCGGAGAAGTTTAAATTTGTGGACCTGAGCCGTGTTGCCATTCACGGCTGGTCCTACGGAGGTTTCCTCTCTCTCATGGGCCTCATTCAGCGACCCAACGTCTTCAAGGTTGGGACGCTTCCTTTATCCTTAAACCATACACTCACACAATCATTCTGTGAGTGAGCATAGTAGTGTATCACCACAGTATGCACAGAATTCATTGCTTAATTCCTGAAGTATTTGATCTCAAAGTTTGAACTTGCGATGTAGTTGCAGCTTACATCCACATGGTGTCTGTGTTGCACAATGTGTTTGTTCATAACGTTTCTTCAGTAAGTGTATTCACAGATAATTCTGTGAGTTACAGGGATCGAAAGTTTAATATTCCAATGTGTTTTATTTGCTAAATGTATATCAAACTGCGCCAAAAACATCAAAATATACTGAGCATATACTTTAGAATCATACAGTAAATCTAAGCAACCACCTTCTTCTCGTGAGTTGCTCTCCAGAGTAAGATACAGTGTTTTATTCTTCATTCTTTCCCATCTGACTACGCTGTGCTTCCCTGTCAGTTGGCCATTGCGGGTGCCCCGGTGACTGTGTGGATGGCGTACGACACCGGCTACACAGAGCGCTACATGGACGTGCCCGAGAACAACCAGCAGGGCTACGAGGAGGGCTCTGTGGCTCTGCACGTGGACAAGCTGCCCAGCGAGTCAGTACACACACTTTCTTTTTTTAACAATTTTATAAGTTTAGTGCTTGAAACTTCTAAATATTTCAGGAGTTATTCAAACCAAGGTGCATAGATATCTGTACGTGTTTTCATGATGACACGTATGATTGATGATTTGGGCATTCCCTCTTACACATGGGGGATGCCATTCTTCCACCAAATATTTGTGCTGGGGTCATGATGGTCCTGAACCTAAAATGTGAAAGCAATGCTTTATGAAAACATGTCCATGCCGTGGAGCTGGTATTTTCTTTCTTTCAGGTGTGGACACGTTGGTGATTTGTTCCCTGCATTGCGAATCTCTTTATAACAGCTGTTATTAAAATGTAGAAAGGTGAAATTAGGATTTACAAGTGGCAGGCTAAGGAAGCCCTGAGGGCCTGACAAACGGCATGTTGGAGCACTGCTCTATGATGCTGGAGTGAAACTAGAGTCTCTGAAGCCCTGCAGCTGCAGTATTTTACCGTTTCTGTTTTTTATTTCGGCTTTTCCTGTTTTGCAATCATGAAGGGATTAATGGTGGATGGATTAATGTGTTTTAATGGTTTGTCTTACTCGTGTATGGAAGCCCATCATATTGTAACCATGTGTTCCTTGTCATTCCAGACCCAACCGTCTGCTGATTCTACATGGATTTCTAGATGAGAATGTGCACTTTTTCCACACCAACTTCCTCGTGTCACAGATAATCCGTGCTGGGAAGCCCTATCAGCTTCAGGTTAGCATCACAAGCCGCCTTCTACCCACTTAACACATTTTTTAAAGTTGTTATATGAATGCTTCATAGTAGGGGGAATCTACATATCTTTTCATCATAAATGTTTTTGTTATTATCTCTGCACCACAAAAATGCACAAAACCAACAACAAATGTGTTTTGTGTATTGCCTTAGACCGCTCTAATGTTAAATGGTAGTAAAAAAAAACAATTTCAGGGTTTTATATATGAAGAATACCACTTGTTATGTTATGTTGATTTTACTGGATACATACATGTATCACACATCAGTCTGTAACGCGGTTGCCCTATTTCCATTTTTCAGGTTTACCCCAACGAGCGACACAGCATTCGCTGCCCTGAGTCTGGAGAGCACTACGAGATAATGCTGCTGCACTTTCTACAACAATACCTCTGAAATGAAACAACAGGGGAGAAGTGAAGTCTAGTTTCCCCCTCTGTCCTCCTTTTACCCCTCCAGCTCACCGCCCACCTTTACTCTCCCTCTCCTCCCCTCTCCCCCAAAACCCCCAGTGTCCAACTGGTCACCCTGTCATCGAGAGAGCGTCACACGCTCTGCAGCCATGAGCCACTCTCTCCTATGAACTAGTCACATAGCCTTTCCACTACACTTCCCTCTTTCGCTCGGTCTGTCTCGTGTTGTTACTCGCTTGTTCGCGCTGTCTCCTCCATGCCCCCCCCCCCCCCACACACCCTGTGTACAGTCTGGGGTAGGGGTTACGAGCACAGAGATTTGGTGTCTCACCCTGAAAGCCGAACAAAGACAAGGAGAAATATTAGCAGGCTGTGTCACATTGACTCATCATCGCTCACCCGCGTCCTCACCTCTGCAACCATGATGGGTTTTTGCCAAATGTTATTGTGTTGTCTCCCCCCCCTCCCCCCCTCGCTCTTCCCGCTGTTTTATTGACTTGAGTCAGTGGAAGGAATGGGACTACAGTTCACAGATTTGAAATGGAATACTATACGCATAATCGCAGACGTGAGCTCACACACTATACATATGTAAGATACATACACTCACAAGCGCACACACAGAATTGCAATATCCTCCATACATGCTGTGAGTCCGTATCTCGCAGTCTGTGTAACGATGAAGAAAGGAAGAACACTGAGACTCTTCTGCTGTCCACTTGTTTTAACTGTGTGTTGTTTAAAATTAAATATTTTATGGATTTTTATTCTTCTTTTCTTTTTTTTAATGCGTGCTGCTGACATGAGCCGGCCGCTCATTGATATTTTTGCGCCGTTCTTTCCCCTCACGTTACATTTCTCGAGATGTCTGCTTGCCTTCTTAACACATAATTTATATTTGCCAAAGTACCTCTTGACTCTTGATCATGCTGGTATTTCCTTTTTTTACTGCAATAAAGACAACAGGAGGGTGAGCACTGGAGTCTTACAACAGCTTTGTACCACCGGAATTCAATTTGTACATGATAATGAATAAATGTATGAATCAATCACATGCTCTCTGTTCCTGCCGTGTTCTTGTTCATGCATGTCATATGATCGCAGCATGTTTTGTCTTCTTATTCACATCAGCAGCACTTGACCAAAGCGCCACCACTGCTGCAACAACGAGGGCTTTTCAAGCACTCCACACCATATGAAGCCGCATGTGCTCGAGGCTCTTCTGTCGCCTCTCTTTGTTGCCATGGTTACCTTTTAATAATAGGGTTCTCCTCCTCGTCGGTGAGTGATGCCTGACCTTGATCTGATAGCACCGCAGGGATCGGATAAATCCCCTCGGCACACACGGGCTTTGTGAGGAGCCTCAGTATGAACCATCGAGAAAGCGAAGGAGCGCATCTCCCTGTTCCTTTCAGAGAACATTTAAAATGAGAAGATGGGATGCTAAACTGCTGTGCTCTGCAAACATGCTGTCCCCATGTTTTAAAATAACGCGTACTGTGGCGGCCAGGCATCGACTTTCAACGGCTGCACCGATGCGCTCGGAGGGAGAGGTCAGTTCAGAGCACACACTCCATCAGATCAGGTGTTACACAGGTTGATCCCGAGCCAGGCGGATCAGTAGGGATGAAACACTTAACATTAAGCCCAACCAAGGAATCAGAAAGTGGTAACCTGAAAAATCAAAGCTGACACCTTGAAGCTCCTGAGGTTTGCTCCCACGTAACATATCTAATCTGCTAAAAAGATTGAAGAGATCTGCCACGTGTGGCTCAGTGAAAAGGATCGGCTCCACTCTGTGGGTTTGGGACTGCAGGGGGTTTACAGAGAAAGTCTCGCTATCCAGACGGATTTGGTTGGATTGATAAAGAGTGACATGTTCAATCGATCGGAGAGGATTATTTTACAAATCTTAAAAATAAATCAAAACGCATATCTTGATTGTTTTACAAGTAAAACAACAATCTGTGAACAATGAACAATTTGAAATGCCCTCATTTAAACCACAAATTAAACTAACCATTCTTCATAAAATGTATTTTTCCACCAGTAATGGGGAACAAGTTTGGCAACTGTAACACTTCTTCATTTGAGGGTAATTAGCTTGCATTTGATGATAAACACGTTGCTTGAGTATAACCCTGCCCACTTATCTTGACTCTACTTGTGAACACATTTTTCATGATATGTTTATGTTGCATGCTATCAGAACAGTGAGTTCTAAGCATTTTTCATAGTCCCTGTTTAATAACATCCAAATCATAGCACTTCTTTTTGTTCAATCTTAGCCACTGTCTACCACATCTTTCTGCATGTAGCTATAATATTCAAATGTAGTGTTTTTAAAATCGATACAGTATAAAAAAAAAATACCAATATTTTCTGAACCAATTATTTGCTTCTGTGATATAATTTCTGTTTCAGCTCTGTTATCAGTTAAGTTGTATTTGTTGCAAACTGGTGAATACTGTCAAAGTCACACAGAAGAGACGGACAAAAAGCAATAATAGTTTAAATCAATTTTATTGGCTCACTATGGCCCCAACGACGGTTAAAGTCTCTTAAAAAACAATTTTACATCTGGCAAACACGACAAGGAAAATATAAATTACAAACAGGTAGCACCAGAAATATATATATATATATATATATATATATTGATTCTTTAGCATTTAAATAAGGAAAGGGAACATCTACAATAGCAAAACCTTCAAGTCACAGAGACAACAGACAATGTCACAACGAATCAGTAACATTACATTTCTGACGACATTCCTTCATACACTATGTACAAACCATGCCTCTCGTATTGAAATAAGTCAATATGACTCAACATCACCAAAATCTCCAGAGAAAATTTAAGTCAGCGAAGAATATGCTCAATTTCATTCAAAATTGCAGACAGAAAATACATTGTACAAAAGGCTGGAATGGTTTTCATTGCCCCAACAACATCAGTCTGAACACAGTTTACAGTGATTTATAACTTTACATAATGCTTTTGAAAATGAATCTCATCATTCTAAGTGGAAAATGAAAAAATAAGTCATTTACTTGGTCCGCTCCATTGGGTTTTTAATCCACCTGCATTTCACTCCTACATGCACCCTTTACAAGCAATTCTGAATCTGTTTTGAGCTGACAGTGCAGTTTACTTGCTACAAAACCACATTCAAGCTCAACAGCAGCCCACATACAGTTGACACCACATGTCTGGTGATGCGTCTCTACTTGTTGGAAATCTTTTGTGGCTTGGAGCACAGCGGATGGGCCGGGACTCGCCCTGTGATTCTCTCCTGACTAGGGGCCCCTGCTTCGTGCCAACAGATGGGATCAACTGCAATAGTACGACATACGGAAAACTTTCCACTGCAAGTTCTTTTTTTTTTTTCTTTTTTTTTTTGTCCCTTTTTCCATCTGTGGCTCTAGGTGCAGGGGAGGAATCTGCTCGTCTCTCGGAGAACAGAGCAGTGGAAACCTGAAACTCATTAATGTGAGTTATTTTTGCTTCTATTTTGAGGGCCTTGGCTCTAGTGTGAGCTCTTCCTCGCAGGGAGACAGCCAGGGAAAATGGAAACCTCTAACTCATCAACCAAGCACCAAGAAAAGAAAGAACGGTCCAAAAATGTACGTCTTTCTCCCCCTCGTCTTTGTCTCGACTTTTTCTTTTTGTCTCTTTTCTATTCTTTATGCCTTGTTCACGATCACAGCGGGGGCGATCATCATCCTGCTGGACTTCAGAGGATAGTAGCGGCCCCTCCAGGTCTTCCAGAAGATGCTCTGCTTCCTCTGGTCCCGCTGCTTTGGAGGAGGGCTCTGGAAGTATCTACCGTTCAGGTTGGAGCGACCGCAGTTACTGAACCACCAGCCACCTGGCAAGACAAAGGACAAAATCATGTTAGGTCCCAAACTGGAAAATAAACTAACAGAGGCATTTATGATTGTGATTATCATTTACAACTCACCAGAGAGGTGCTTGGCGCAGTTGGTGTCGTGTTTCTGGTCATTGTCTTGGTCGTGGGTGGAAAAGGGCAGGCCGGTGGTGGAGTCGGTCACCAGGGAGCTCTCCAAAGGGCTGAAAGCGTCTTGCTTCTCAATCTTCAGCGAGTACTTGGTTTCCTGTCCGCCCAGCTGGAAGGGGAGGCGGACGGATGCTGAGTCACCGCTCCAGTCAGCCAGCATGATGTTGAGGATGTAGCCGCCATCTTTGGCAATGGAGTGGATCTTTTCTAACCCCAACCAGAACTCTCCTAGAGAAGAAGACAAAGAGAAGAAGAGAAATGGTGAGAAATGTACCCAGAGTGGGGACAGTGACTTGTGCTGTGTTGACTTCTGTTTGCCTTTGATCCATCTTAAGCTTATCAGCGATAAGATGCTTTTGGGGGATGGATCCTGCCCTTTGATCCAGTGGTTGTAAAAGACAGTAATGCTGTGTGAACTAATCTGACCCTGGCTAGGACGGCCAGCACCTGTTTAGTTAGTGAGAGTGAGATCAACGTCAAAAGAGCATTTACCATTCAAGCTGCCAAAGCCTTTTTCGTAGGCATGCCATTGCTGATCAAAGTCAACTGAGCCATCTTGGCGCCTTTGGATCAATGTCCATCCGCCATCTGGACAGAAAGACAGAAACAGAACGATTAGAAAAAGTTGTACAAACCACATCAGTAAGCTCTTGAGTTGTTTAAAGTCCGTGACTGATTGTCTAAGTGCTCAGCAATTGTTGGCTAACCTGCACCGAGAAAGACACAAAGGTGAAAACAATTTCACTCCACTTACCAGCTGTCATCTCACAGAACACTTGAAAGGGCTCTGCATTTATTGGCTGGATGGTGTATTCCCCGCTTGTGCTCTCTCCTCTCAGGAACAGCTCATGACAGTCTGATGCCATCTCTAGAAGAAGAAGAAGAAGAAGAAGAAGAAGAAGAAGAAGAAGAAGGAAAAAAACAATGTTTAGACAACCAGCTCCGTACAGTATCACTGTAATGAGAACAGTACGATCACCTTCTCACTACACTGCTGGCCATGCTATTTACATGACACTTTTCACACGTGTGTTTTGCTTCATCCTTACTCCCCTGAACTCTGTTGTTGTGATGAAGGTAAACAAAAAAGAAAGTTGAGTGTATAATTAAGGTTGTAAATTTGCTGGGCCGCTGCCAAATTCTAACAACTTGTTTACTCCATCCTGCATTGATAAATAGGTAATTCACACCTAAGGAAGTCTGAACGACTATTGTTCGGAGTGAGCTCATCTGTGAGTCTGGAGGTATAAATGTGTACCCTACAGACCCTTTGACCTAGCCTTAACAAGAGGGAGAGTGACAACTTGTGTCTCGGTTATAAATATGACCTTTCTCCCAGTTCCCAAGCAGACGTCCCTGTTTACGGCTGCCTTGCCTTCCAGGCTATTGCGCGGCACACTCTACTACACTTTACATTCCTCAACCCCCTCCTCCCTGGCTCGTCACACCTCCCTCACATGCACAGCAGCCAGTCGGTGACGCAGGAGTGCATGGCTGGTGCATGCATGGGGAGTGATCAGAGGGGGGGGGGAGGGGTGCTGCTGTATAGGAACATCGGAGAAGGCGGTAACACAAAGCAGGGGACTCCAGACCACAGGACCAATAGCATCTCTCCAGTAATCCCTTTATAATCATGGATGACATCATCTTGTGATGCTATTTAATATCTTTAAACGACAACAAAATGCTTTTTGCTGATGTTTAATGGATCTTTGTTGTATATTCGCCTGCATATTGTTTTAATGTGACCATCCACACCAGCTGACCGCAGAACCACAAAAACCTAGTTTGTGTGTCATGTCCGTTCCCTAGAGGTATGATCTCTTGGTGGCCAGTTGTGGATGTGGTCTGCCTCGGGGTCAGGGGTTTTCCTGAACTTTGGCACACTTCTTGTTCATTACAATGTGAGAGAAGGTGGAGATGGAGTTGGGGGGGTTGGGTGTCGTGGTGGGGGAGGAGAGGAGAGGATGAATGAAGAGGAGGAGGAGGAGGAGGGATGTCTGACTCCCTGACAGATCTAGGGGAAAGGTTACTCATTCTTGAGGGATATACAAATGTTTGTTTTACTCAAAAATATCTTAAAAGGGGGAGGAGGAGAGAGTCTTCAAAACAGTGGAGGATACCTGTACAAAGTTCACAGATAAATATAGACTACGATTCCTATTTTCCCTCTTTTTGTCTTGGCTCAGGCACATGGACAGTAATCTGAGGAACGTTGCATGCTAGATTTGTACAAAGCCTTCCCTCGTCATTTCCAGGTCCTCCCCCCGACACACACACACCACAGAAACGAACGGTGTGAGTAATCCTGTTGAGCTCTGAGACCTGACTTAAACACCCTCAGTCACAAGCAAACTTTCCCCCAGTTGAAACATTGCCAGAGAGACTTGTTTCTTTCCTCATTCCTCAAATTCGGCTGATGTCAGTTCTCTGAGGTTTTATTGTGATTTGTACTGACTGACTGGTCTCAAATCTTGCCTCAGCCATGTTCACCTTTCACCTACTTCTCATCCATGGCCATCAGAAACAGAGGTGTGACTGTTTCGTGTAATTTATTCCACAATTAATTAATCTGTATTCATTCAAATCTGCCATTTTAATTTGCATACAATTCTGTTTCATCTAGTAAATCCTCCCATCGTCCTTTTCGTCTTCTTTGAGGGCTAAACTGGCTTTCAGTGAGTGGGTAAGAAAGCTGAACATGTGTTTAAATTCTTCCACCGTCGTGTGTATATCCAGTCCAGTAAAGTCTGGATGAAAGCATTCATTATGACTGCAGTCACGTTCAGATGGAAGCAGCAGCTGCTTGGCATGGCTTCACACCCAGGGCATCATTTACTTCCTTTGAGGCCACGGTATGAGGGCCAGTGACTAAACTGAGCCTCATTCTGACTATCTTCATTTTGTATTTCTTATTTCCAGTACTTTATGTCCTGATGATGGAAAGAGGCAACAATAAAGATGCATATTATAGTTTACAGTTTGTAAGATGTCTACTTTATTGTTCACTAATTTAATTGTCTTAATGGTGTCCTGTATTAGTTGAATAATGCCCGTAAGATTTCACAGGCTAAAAGGCACAGCTTGTGCAAAAAGTTCACCCTATTTTGGCGTGCACGCCTGTCCCAAGTTGATTAGATTCCTTGACTTTAATTGCTTGTGATTTAAGCTTCTTTATAGCTTCACCAAACAGATGGCCTCGCCACATTTGGTGTCAGATTTTGTCCAGTGGATTTAAGACGGTGTCAGGAGGGGATTTGGAGCGCTTTACTTACCGACTGGTGAGTCGCGTTGCTCGGCGACGACACTTTGCACGTCAGTGTTGCTGTTCCGCAAGGATGGTCTCTGTCGTGACTGTTGCACCTTTAAAAAAAAAAAAAAAAAAAGTTACGAAACATGAGATTGCCGAAAATTTGACAAAATTTGAAAGATGCGTAATGCAGGTGCGTGTGTTTGCAAGCTGTTAGCGTGTCTTCCTCACCTGACTCTGCAGGGTCCTGATGCGCACATTCTGCTTGTCGAGCTTCTCCTGTTGGAGTCTGATTCGCTCCATCAGATCGTCAATGCGTTTGTTCTGACCCTCCAGCATCAGCTGACAGAAAAATGAAACAAAGAAACCACGTTTTATTTATATTTTTTGCGTTTTATCACTTTTATTCGACACGGTGCCTGTGCGTAAAATGTGCCCGTGGCGCAATAGAACTAGATGACATCACCAGAATAAACACAACAAACAGGCCACTTGCAGGGCTTCATTGAAAAACCCGAGACATAGACCATAGGCACATTTCCACCCCTTAATGAGAAACACTTGTTCTGTGCTGCTGTTAAGCGTTATGTAACACTCGGAGCGCGGGGTTTTCCATCCCACTATGAAGCCTTTCAGGCTCAAATACTGCATCGTAACCCGAGAAATTAGAAGAAAGCGCAGCTAACATAAACCGGTTCGACTGTGCCATATGGAACCCATAATCTACAGGTTGTAAAATGTTCCAGCTGTGAAAAATTAGTCACACATTCATACAGCTGATGCGTGCAGACCTCTTTGTTCCGTAGCCCTTTAAAATGTTCCTGCACGTACTGCACGCTCTGCCTCAACGCCATGCCCACCACCCGCTGCTTGCCCTTTGTGCATTTTGATTTAGTGCCTTTGAGCTCCCACAAAGACCAACGGTCCATGCGCACTGTACATCCAGTAACATGACTTGAGTCCCTTGAACCATCTGCTGCAGTAAAACAACAGTTTGTACTTTGTGAGACTCATCTTGAATTTATGAGTATAGGAATTATGTTTTGCATACAGTGGTGAGCCTTATTTAGCCCCTTTTTTTCTCCCAAACTAACTTATTTAACTCCCCTTATCTTAACATCTTCTGCCTTCCCAAACAAATTCTCTCACCTGGATGTTGCGAGCATCACTGTTGTTCTTGGCACCAGCGCTTGTGTCGGGCAGCGAAGCTTCTCCCTGCAGCATGCCGTCCACCCTCTCCTCCAGCCGGCTCATCCTCTCGCTCATCGCCCTCCTCTCGTGTTGCATCTCCTCCGCCTTCTCCCTCAGCTCGGCGGTGACGTTGAGCAGCTGTCCCTCTCTGTCCTCCAGTCCATGGGCTCGAGCCTTCAGGGCCTCCCCCTCCACTCGCAGCTTCTGGCTCTCCTTCCCCAGCTCGGTCACTGAGCGGTTGAAGACCTTCATCTTGGTGGAAATGTCCCTCATCTGGACTTTGGTCTTGTCCACATGCTCCTTCAGCCCCTGGCCCAGCTGCAGCAGGCCGTGAGCGATGACGTTCACGTCATCCCACGCTGCGTACTGTACGCGCTTCTCCTTGGCGGCACTGCCGGAGGATGAGCCCCCTTTCTTCTCCAAAGGGAAACCTGTGCCGTTGAGCACCACCAGGCAGAGAGTCAGAGTTGCCAGTATTGTCTTCATTGCTGCTGTTGATTTTGATGCAGAGATTTTGCTCGAAATGGTGTATACTTTCCTGTTGCACAAGTGTGCGGTTGATTTTTAATCTGAGAGCTATGGCTCCTTGCTGATTCAGAGCACCACTGTTATATAGTTTCACAGCCCTCAACTCTAAGCTGTAAATAGCCTGCCATTGGCCAGCCGAGGAGAGGGAGGGGTGCGGTTACTCTCAGGTTTCTGTCCCTCCTCCACCTCTCTGTTAACTATTCATGTCAGAGGCGGAGCAGGGACATAATACAACAAGAAGACAGGCATTCATCTATGCGCTGTGGGAGATAGGGACTACATTAAACAGTTGATATCCTCAGCAGTGCAATTTATGTGAAGCATTACTGAATTCACACAAAGTGTAATGTGGTTCTGAAGAAGTGAGTTGATGCATTCATCAGCACAGAAACACCCTGACATTGGTTGAAAGTGAACCACGAAGCTCATAAAATAAGGAACAGTGTGACTGTTGGGAGACTTAATTCAATAATAGATAGTCCAAAACATATCACAATACATCTGTAGACCTTTTTGTAACCTTGTGTGACATCATTTACAGGAAACTGGTCTGATTTGAACAGAAGTCTTAAAAGAGCTGAATTCTGAAAATGAAAGTGACACATTCCATTACTCTGTAAATGGACCACACACACCATGAAAGATGAAGCCTAGGCCTTTATAGAGCAGATTCACCCCTATCTGAGGGGAGAATTTTAGCCTCTTCTCCGTGTCATTAATTTGCACAGCCGTGAAGGGAAGATCTCTGTTCACCTCCTGTAACCTCACTTTATTGGTCCTGTGAGGATAAAAGGGAGATTTATGATTCAAATCTGTATTAGCAAGGAAACTGCACATTAAATCTGAGGTCTTTTCCTCACAAGGGAGAGAATTCAGGCAGAAATACAGTAATGAACCTGAATTGATCTGTGCAACAAAAAACAAAAAAAGACGAGTCAATTTATTCACAGCGTAAAATGCCATCATTTAAAAAACAGTTAATCTGATTTCCGGACATGGAAGAGCATATTTTCCTAATTTGTTTTAAATTGAATTAGCCTGATTATAATCATATGCTTTTACAGTACTCCAACTGACCTTAAAAATATAAGATATAGATTGATATAGAGATAGATAGATAGACAGACAGACAGACAGATATATAGATAGAAATATAGAGATGGATTGATGGATGAGATCATATTTAAAAAACAATTCTAGCAGCTATTGTAAAAAGGGTTTCTTAATAATTGGGGGGATGAATGAGTAATGAATGAAGTCAGTGACTCCGTGGAACACGCCAGGAGGGAAGCATGCGTATAATTTGGCCTGAGGTGCTCCTTGGCAAAGATCTATTGCTGGGGAGACGTGAGGACTGTGAGAATTAGGGGAAAGTTCACAGCACAGAGAGTGCCCACATTACGGGGCTGGAGGTTTTTTTTTTTTTTTTTTTCTTTTTTTACAACTCGTATAGGCCTTGCGTGGTCTGGTCCTGGGGCCAGACCAAAAAGAAGGAGCTGCTTTAACCCTCTCCTGTCTGCAGCCCAGACTAAGTAGGTGAAAGGTAACTGGGAGACTGCTGACAGTGCTGAGAGGGGACAATCAGTGCAGAGGAATTACATGGCCCTTACTTATTTGTCTAGAACAAACACGCATTATTTTCCCGTAAGCCTTGGTAGAGAGGGGTTTCCACATTGACAACCTATTGTGCCCCAGTTAATATACTTGTCTCTTGCTCAATCTTTTCCTTTCAATAGGAGCAACGAGGTCATCACAGTCAAATTCGATTTTTATCAACTGCATTGATGATTTGTATCCTTTCAGTTAGCAAGATTATTACTGAATGGAATAAGTATTTTATGTATATATATAAGTGGTTGGAAGGTATTTGTCTGTGGCAGGTACAAGCAGGAGCATCTCAAAAAGACACCTGCTTCTTGAGAGAAATTTAGTCACAGTAAAACTTGATGAGCGTCTTGTACACAATCTTCATGATTGTACATGTAAAGAATGTGCTGGCCTTATCGCAGTTCTTCTCTACATTACTGAACTCAGCAGGTATGTGAGCTGGGTGACCAGTACGGGGCTGAAAGAAAAGCAGCGCCCCTTCACTTTTGGCTTGATGTCTGCATCATAATCAGGCAAATGGAGAATCTTTGATTCAGATGAATTGCAGTGTGTGTCAGACAGGAGGAACTGGTTGTTCAGGAGCTTGTGATGAAGTACACTGTGGGTTTATAAAATGTCCTGAAGTGGACTGTGATCCTAATTTTGTGCTGCAAGGTTGCAGTTATAGTTGGCATGAGTCAAACTGTCGAAGAGAAATCCAGTTCGGCTTGAAATTGTTTTCATACCGTAATTATGGGATGACTCACGCTTGTTTCCATCCTGACCGTAAAAACATAATAGCACAACAATTCAACAACATATTGTCAGTCGGTGTTATAAACACTTTTGACTTCTGTGTCAGTGGTGGATGAAGTATTCCGATCTTTTACTTATATATATACTACCAAAGTGTAAAAATACATAAATACAAGCAATAGTCATGCATTGAAAATGTTACTTGAGTACAAAGAGCATTGTGTACTTAAAGTGTCAAAAGTGGGCTACAAATTATATCCTTTCATTATATGTATTTTATCATAATTACAGATGAACAAGAACAAGAAGATCAAACAGGTTAATAGTCTCATTGTGGTCACAGTAGGCTATATATTTACTTGAAGACAGACTAAACAAATGGATTCAATAAACATTTGTTTTATTTTTATTATTTTTATTTAAATAATGTGCATGTCTTGCGAGAATCTGTCTCCTCTGTATCCTCTCATTCAAACTCTTAAGCCATACAGTCGTATGTCACTGATCATCACTGCCTCCACACCTCCCCACAGCTGCTTATTCCATTTCCAAAAATGGCCGCTCCCATCCCTAGCCGGCGTGGTGACCTTTTACCCAGATTCAAACACAGAACATCTGTAAATCCCAGTGCAGCCCCAGACTCAGTCATGAACAAGGGGATGAGAAGAGGGAGGAAGCCGTAAACCTCATGCTTCCCACGGACAAACTGTGATCTGTGATCTGTGATCTTTTCCATTTGGGACTATTTTATGAGATTTTTGAATTTTATATTGACTGATTTTTTTTCCACTTGTGTTTGCCAGAAAGCACAACTGGATATATTCAAATGAAGAACAAACCTCCAATAAAAATGTAGACTCATTTGGAAGAAGAAACTGAAGGAAAGTTGGAAGAAATAGGCTCCATAAAACTTTTACTGAAATCATTTTTCTTACTTATCTCATCTCAACATGTGAATATCCAAGCGAGACTCAATATTACAACTCGTCCACCATCAGATAGGGCACACGTTTACATTATCACACATCAACCATGTCTTTGGGATGTGTCACCTGCTGCCCACCTCACTTATCTTGGATTAAGCCAAATGTCACCTGCCCTACATGTACGTTCACATTAACAATGGCTCTGTTACATTAAGCGTCCCAGAAAGGCATGTCAGGGAGTCGGCTTGCATAATGCCGGGATCCTGAAACTGGTACTCCTCAATGGAATGCAGCCATAGTTAATTATTACTCCTGCTAATGTAACATTGTCACTGTTTGAACTGTTTCACTCAAAGTGATGCGTTTAGGGATTTGCAAGGTACATTTTCGATATTTCCATTTAAAGGAAATCACATTGTCGTCATAAACTAAGATTTAAATTCAACAGCCTTTATTTTCTGTCAAAAAACAGAATTAAATCAGTGAGGAGAGACAGACATGGTTGCAGATAAGCAGGTCCTGATTCCTACACACCATACAGGCATGCAGAGGAGAACATTTGCCTTGAACCAGTTCCCATTCAATATGTTGAGAACATCAGGCAGCCAGCTAAGACACACTACTGCCTCCCAGTGGTGCAAAGCGAGAGCAATATCGTGTCTGTTTGTTCAGCGTGACCCCTGACCATTTTACCCCTGGGGCCCTCTTAGGGTCTGTTCTGCTATTGTTGTCCCAGCAGCCGCATGCTGAATACGACATGGCACCGAAGCAAATGAAAAACTGCAGTTTTTCTTTCAGCCTCCAGCAGTCCTGAGAGACGAGGTGGGATTATTTCCCCCCTCTGGTTTGGTTTCAGAGCAAACAGCGAGCAGGCTGAGAGGATATGAGAGATTTCCTGCGAGGACTCAAACACGCTGTCCCTCAGACAAGGATGGTCCCCATTTGGCATCAGTATGTAGAGACCTTTTCAGTTCCCACACAAATGTTTGACTTCTGCCTTTTTCGTGACGCCAAAACTTTTAAAGGTCTTCGTGTGCTTAGCTTTTTTATGATCCTGTAGAATTTGCCAAAATAAGCACTGTACAATTTCTTCTCTTTGAGGTCAAAAACCAAAGTCACACAAGACAAGATGAAAGACAATGTGCCCCGGTGCCCTGTTTGTGCAGCTGACTTTAATCAACACATAGACACACTTCAAGTTGCGTGTATCTTTCGTGCATGCTTGGATGCACGTCCGTCTCCTTGTACATTCCTTACGTCTCATGCTCAGCATACACATGCACAGACATGTGTTACATAATACAGATGAATGTGTCTTCATTATTGCTTCATCCTGACTAGTTCGGTTTTCGTTTGCCATGAGATAGTTTTACTCCTTGGACTGGTCATGAGGAACACGCTCCTGCTGATTGACATTCCATATACATCCTCACCTCTCCACACTCTTCATGCTGTTCCGTCTGTGCTTTCACTGCTGCTGGACTTAATGAGTGTCCCAGCTGGCAGGAAGCAGAAAAAGTACAGAATGTACATATATCCCAATTTGGATATTATAAATATGTATTGACCCTGGTTGACCTCAGCAGCTGTGTATGCTGTCATTCTTCATAGTGCTGGAAATCTAAGCTGATTTACTGTATTTTTGAGTTAGGGACCCCCCCCTCCCTGAACATTGAGCAAACAAACACTGCCCATGTACGAATGAAAACAGTATTAGGCTGTTTGCAGTGACCTATATTTAGGAAAGACTTCACTGAAGAAAATATTCTTTTTCGTGAGTTGGGAG